CCCCTGCCACTCCTGTCAGATCCATGGACCCCTTTACTTCTGCCATTTCGCCTGCAGTAGATGTCGATCTCTCCCCTGCTCAGCTTACCAGCCATGTCGACCATGACAAGCCATTCGACCAGACGACGCAACCTGGCAAGAAGGTCCGAACGAATACATTCTTAGGTGATACCGAGATACCTGAACCAATTTCTGCCATTGAGCCAGAACCCGCCTCTCACGGATCTGACATTCTCGTATCACAAGACTCTAGCGATGCTAAGGTCGAGAACACCGACGTGCACGCCGTTCCCGAGACGACAATCGAGGATCCTGCAAGCCAACCTGATCAGGCTCCTTCGCCAGCACCAACAGCTCGAGAATTTGCAGCCGATTACCTCGATCCCGAACATAGCAAGCATAGTCATCGTCAGAACGACAAGGCTGCAGTTGATTGGACATCAGACTATTCCAGTCCTCTCCCCCAAGCAACTTCGGAGCGAGACATTGCCGTCTCCTACCTCGAATCACATTCACGCAATATAGGAGATTTGAGCTTTGAAACAGAGCTGTTGAAAAGCGATCCTCTTGTGGTCCCTCCAAGCGAAGTGAAGGCTGCTTACAATCACGAAAACCAAGCAGTTACTGGGGACAATGATCACCGAGGAGTTGTGGTTGCCGAATACCCTCCTAAGATCGATCAGCCAAGCCCAAAGATGAGTGGGTTTGCAGCACAAGATTCTTTTTACAGTGTAAGTGGCGACTTTGCAGAACCACAGAGCGCAAAGTCCCAAGAGTTTGGCAAGTCTCCCATGAGTAAAGACGAGATTGAGAAGGAAGACAATGCAAACGATGCAGATGCATTAGCAGCAGCAGCAGCACTCACTGGTGGTGTCGCAATGCTGGCAAGCAAGTTTGGTGGAGCAAAGAAGGTGAAAGTAAAGAAGGGCAAGAAGTCAAAATATGTCGACAAACGACAACCCAAAGAAGACGACATATTTGACGATCCAATGTTGTGGGAATCTTCGGAGCGCAAGATCATGACAGGAAATGACGGCGGACGACTTGACATGGATACGGGTGATTTCTGGGATGTGCAGGATGAGACGGAAGAGACACCGGAGGTTCAGCCTGAGAAGCTAGCTTCGAAGGAGACTGAGTTGGGGGGAGCGGGTACAGAGGGAGGACAAGTTCGCGGCATCACTCACGGTATCATCGCGAACAGTTCAGAGTTGCCAGAGAGCCCAATTGTTGGGCATAACGAGAGAAATACCGGCCCAACACAGCCAGAGATGCCTCTGAGGGTATCTGCTGAGCATTTGAAGACACCGGGCATGGATTCAGCTTCAGAGCTGATTAAAGACATTGACGAACTAGATACTACGGAACCGATCCCCAGCCGTGGTACAGATGCGAGTCCGGTTCATGACATTCGCACGCAAATGATATCGCCCAACAGAGACTTCACCGATTGGGCTCGAAGTTCAATCATGTCGGCAAGAAGCCTCCCACCGGTCGAGGAAGAGCCGAATGAAGAGTTCGAGGACTTGCCAAAGCCGCAGTCTGACGACCTCCTACGTACCCCCGAGATCAACAGAGACAGCGGGTTCGTGGCAGAATCCCCTCTTCCAGTAAGGCAAAGTCTTTTTGACGACGAGAGTGGCAATCGCGATAGTGGTGTACACATGAAGGATTGGCACGAGGAAACTGGAGCACAAGCATCGAGGGAAGTCACAGAAGCTCAGCCAGATACTCCCCGTGATGTCCAGACACCAAAGACGGAAGAAAAGAGAGGTAAAAAGTCACACTTGAGCGAAGAGACACCGCGCCTGGGCACACCCAGCCGGTCACTTGGAGATACATCACCCGACCCGGAGAAGAGGAGCAGGTCACATGCAGCTGGGCCCAAGACACCGCGCTCAGCCAAATACGAGAGCCTCAACACTGGGGCCAGTCCCGCCCTGACGCCTCACGCTTTTGGACAACAGAAAAGCTTTTCAGACAAGATGGTGAATCGCGAGGGAAGCAAGGAAGAAAATGCAGGCACCACGGCGACAACAACAACAACAACAACAACTACTACTCCTCGTAGCGTGCGATCAACATCTAATACGAGCGTTACAAGGCTGCGGACGCCAGAGCCACTAAATTTGCGGCCTGACAGTCCAGGCAGCATTCGGTCGTCGGGGACTAGCACCCCGCCCCTCCGGCGGGTGGACAAGCGAATGAGCGGAGACCTGAGGTCGCTTAGCCAACACAACAATAACGGTAGCGTCACCAGCCTCCACTCGCACCACTCCCCTCACTCCCGCCTGGCCAGCCCCGTCCCATACCCTGGAGCACGTCCAGCCTCAGCACTCTCGTCTTCAACCCCAGCCCCAGCCCCGTCAGCGTCTCCGTCCCCATCCGCCCTAGCAACGGCCAAAGCCAAGGGCGGCAGCGACAAGGATGTGCTCGCTGCCCTTCAAGTTGAGCGACGACGACAAACTGCTACTGCTACCTCAACTTCTTCAACGCCAGTGGCCAACGAAGGCCGTGTCCGAGCCAAGGACATGACCGACGTATATGTAAGTATTCTTGCGAATGAGGAGCTCGATTGATACAGAATAGATGCGCTGACAATCTTTTTTTTGTTCAAATAGGATGGCGTTGGCGAGGGCCGCATTGGCTCTCCGCGCTCGCCCACCAGACCTCACAGCATGCGCCGCCGACAGAGCATGCAAGTCCTTGAGCTCGAGTCAAAGGTCGAACAACTGATTGCCGAGAATCGCGCGCTCACCGAGGCGAGATTACAAGCCGACGTCAATGTTAACCAGCGCGCCGCCGTCACCATTACTGAGCGCGACACACTGATTGAGCAGTTGCGCTCGAGTCTCGAAGAGTACAAGCGCGAGGTCCAGCGCCTCAAGGAAGTCAACGAGGGACTGCAAAGCGCCAATTCCCAGCTTGCAGCACAACACAGCGAGCGCTACAGTCACCTCGAACACCAACATGCCTCGGCATCATCTACGCTACAAGACAAGGATGCCGAGATCCAGCAGCTCCGAGATGAGCTCGAGGCCACGAAGCAGCAAGTCCGGGAAATGCAACAGCAGATCCTCGCCACCAAACCTGCCGATGCCGACTTTTTGAGGCTTAGAGACGAGGATTACTTTGACAATCGCTGCCAGCAGCTTTGCGCCCACGTCCAACAATGGGTCTTGCGCTTCTCCAAGTTTTCCGACATGCGCGCCTCTCGCCTCACGAGCGAGATCAATGATGTAAAGATTGTCGATAGGCTCGATAACACTGTCCTCGATGGCTCCGATGTCGACGACTACCTCAGTGATCGTGTCAAGCGCCGCGACGTCTTCATGTCCATGACCATGCACATGGTTTGGGAGTACGTCTTTACCCGCTACCTGTTTGGCATGGATCGTGAGCAGCGCCAGAAGCTCAAGGCCCTCGAAAAGCTCCTCTCGGATGTCGGTCCGCCGCATGCAGTTCGCCAATGGCGCGCCGTTACCCTGACACTACTGTCTCGCCGTCCCGCCTTTGGCGATCAGCGCAACGATGACACCGAGGCAGTGGTCCAGGCCATCTTGGAGACATTGTCCAAGATTCTCCCACCTCCATCAAATATGGAGAACCAAATACAATCACAGCTTCGCCGTGTCCTCCGTGAAGCAGTGGATCTGAGCATCGAGATGCGCACACAGCGCGCCGAGTATATGATGCTTCCACCATTACAGCCCGAGTATGATGGCAATGGTGACTTGGCGGAAACGGTAGCTTTCAATGCTGCCCTCATGAATGAGCGCTCTGGCGGATCCACATCCAATGAGGATCTGGAGGCCAACGGTGCTGTTGTCCGCATGGTATTGTTCCCGCTCGTTATCAAAAAGGGCGACGACAATGGCCTGGGCGACGATGAGATTGTCGTCTGCCCTGCTCAAGTCCTCGTACAAAGGTCTAGTCACCGATCGATTCGCATGGTGACTCCATCGTCCGAATTTGGCGGCGGCGCACCACTCAGCAGAGGTGCCACTCCAAGTGCAGGCTTCAAGAGTGCTGTGAGCTTGCCAATGTCACCAGCCCCCGAAGGAGCCGACTCTCACATGGAGGGCGCTTTCTAAAGACAGTAATTCATCTATTAGGAGTATGAAAGAGATGGATGGGTATGAATGTTATGAAGATTGGAAACGAGATATGGATGAAAATAATGGCGTGGAATTGGTTCATATTATGCACATTGTTGATAACTGTTTATTCTTATTTTCTATTCTTTGTTGTTTCTTTGCTCTGCAAAAGAACATTTCTCATGATATCCCGAGGAGTTATGCAAGACGGGGCATGATATTTTGGTTTTGGTCATTTTATAGTGTGTATCATGTTTGGAAAGGCACATACAATCATCATGGAAAATATGTGTAAATGTTTTATGAATGACGGCTGTTTCATCAATACACGAATAATCGATTATCTATCTACGCGTGGCACTGCACAGAGAAGGTCCAGGACATACGGGATTAAAGTGTGATCGAGTGACCAATGCACGTCTGTTGGCCGTATGAGAATTGTGGCGCCAAAGTTTAAACCTTTCAAGTCCAGGACGGCTCAGCCGCATCAATCGTCTTTAAAGATAACGACAAGAATGGATGGACAAGGAAACAATGAAAAGAACCTAGTCACAAAGATATCTTGATCTCGGCCACTTCTCTTGTCCAGTCTGACCTACCAGGGGGATTACTCGAAGCTGAATAGCTGTGCCACGACATGTAATCATACGAAACCCTGGCATGTAGATCCAACTTAACCACATGTAGTCGGTGAATCTGACTAAGCCCAGGGTGCAAGCTGAAAAAAAATAAAATATCTTTGGACAAACCTTGTGGTTTGTCTGAGCATGGGGAAAAATAAATATATAATCGTCCGTTTCTTGGCAGGTTGGCCCCGAAACTATACGTCCTTGTTTTGCAACCTCTCAGAGTAAGAAAGGGGCCAAGAAAGTAATGGTCAACATGAACGGATCAGACTATACAATGTCAGAAACCCACAGCAAAACGTGTATGAAGGAGACGAATAAGCCCGCGGGAAATCTCACCTCTCTCCCAGCGGAACTCCGGCTGCTCATCTATGGACACTTGTTCCGTCGGACCAAGCACGTCGTCGTGGCTTCTGGCGGCTACGCCGACAAGGCAAGAGAGTACGACGACAAGAACAAAAGCAACAGGACCTGGCCGATCCTCTTGACCTGCCGTGGTCTACACGACGAGGCCTGGACGTCGTATTGGTCTCACGCTCGTGTCAAGGCATATGTTACGTGGCGTCAGCTTCCAGAGGCTTGTAAGTTGAAAAGAGAAGAATTTATTCCTTTCCAATAATCCGGATGCTTCAACTTCGGTCCCTTGGGGTACTATACGGAGAGTTTATCAACAATTCAAAAATATACATGTGTTTAATATTCAAGCAGGATGAAAATGAAAATGAATAGTCTTGGCTAATCGCCGTCTTCTAGTACCTCCCTCGACACCCTTGTCGCGAGTTCGACACCTCAGTCTCCGAATCCACACGCTCAGCGCGCGCTGGGACCAGATCCTCCCGGATCTGGAGCAGACCGTTCCAAACCTGCAGACCCTCGTGATTCGCGACGAGGATCTATACCTCGAGCCGGAGCACTGGCTTGAACTTTTCGGCGGCTCCTCCTCCTCCTCTTCTTGCTCTTCATCATGCGCTTTTCCCGCGGAAACGATCAAGGCACGACAGGAGCGAGCCCAGAAAATCTACCACGAGATTATAGCACCCAGTCTTTTCGGCCACTATCATGACAATAGAGATGACGACGACGACACCCACCACACCGGAAGCCATGTCGAAACAAGAAGAGACCGGTCCACCATCTCCAAGCTGCGGTCGCGAGACGTGCTCCGAGACGCAGCGGCGTGGCCTCGTCATCGTGTAGTACATGTCCCGCTCATGACTGACATGGTCACCGTCGGGAATACTGCTACCACCACGACTAGGACGGAAATGAGCAATAGTGGCCTGGAAACGGGCACTAGCTATGGACTTGATTCCATGAGAATGTGGTGGTTTTTTAATTATGGAAATGACAAAATGTCTCTCGTGACTAATGTCGACAAGGAGAAAGGGTTGGTTGAGATTTATTGATTGACATTGGGTGTCATCATTTCACCTTTGGGCTTTGGGAAGACGATAGATTTATAAAAGGGAAGGCGTAATTTTGAATACCTGGGAATGGAAATATAGCTGGGGGGAATTGATTAGAGAACAATCTGAGCGGGGAATTAGTGCTTAGACTGATGTATCAAAAGACATGGACGTGAGATAAGAATTAAAATGTTGCATTATAAATAGCAGTGACTGGAATAAATTTTGCTTAAGTCAGTTGGTCCCAGATCATTCTAAAAACACTAAACTGAGTGAGTAAATCGTATATCATGTCCCATAATTCCCCATCATTACCCGTACAAGCCTGGCGGGCTTGATAACCAAGAGAAAAGGAAAAAGAAAAGAAAGGTAACTCCATGGTATGCACTCTATATACATTCATTCATATGCATTGGTGCAGCTGTTCTAGGTGAGAGACGGTCTAATAAACTTCAAGCAGGAAAATGAAAAATTCCAAGATTGTCATCATGGTAGCCCTGGATACTGAGACCGCCAGTGGTAGGATCATTTGGAAATAGAGCATACATGGTATCCTGTCCACTTGTTAGTGATTCCACATCTTCTCATCAAGGACACTGAGCCACAACATACCCAGTCAATGGTATCCATGATGTTGCCCATGGCTGCGGCTGGGGGTGCCGCCATGTTGAGACCATGTGTGTGTCCTACACTGGAGGTATCGCTGCTTCCAGGGCTCTCATGCTGCACAGGCGGTAGACTCCACAAGGCCTGGCCATCCGATACACCTGCAAACACCATCTGTGGCATTTGAGCCGGAGGCATACCTGGCGGTATTGCTGGCGGCGTAGCCATGGTTTCCATTTTGGTACTGGGGGCTGGAGACATGTGCTGAGAATATCCTCCCAGAGAGGCGACCGAGTTTGTCCTGCTGGTACCGCCAACGACAGTTTGCGACGTCTGTGCCCGCGTTGTACTAGTAGGGCCACGCATTTTGCGCAGCTTGTAATAAACTGCCGTCTTGGTCTGAATCTCGTTCAACAGCTGCTGGGCTTTTATCTCGGGGGGCAGACGACGATCCATGCCAAAGACATAGTCCAGACATGCCCAGATCCGGTCTGCCTCTGGTGACATGGGCCGAAAGTATACTTCGGTGGCTAGCAGAAGTGCAGCATGGTACTGAAAGTAAGCGCCCAGATACCAAGCCCAAGCGCGGAAGCTCTGATTTGTTTCGAGCTGGATCGCCAGCTCACAGATGAGAATTGCCGAGGTTATGAGAAGTGAGCCCAAGCGAGGTGGCATTGGGCTTATCGCATTGGAGTGGTAGGGATGTAGCACCATGACGTGCAGGCGGTATGTAAGGAGATACATGACACATTTTGCGTACCGCTGGATTGGCTGGTTGGAGTCCAAGAGGTGGTCGTACTTTTCCGACATGCGCCGCCGAAAATTCTCGATCTTAGTGAGAACCGAAGTCAGCGTCGTCTTGCGAAGTTCCAGCCGCCGCCTGTCCAACCAAATGATTCGCATCATCTCATTGACTTCAAAGCGTATCAACGCCAAGGTATTGGTCGTCCAACGATCTGATGGCGCCGGTGGCACAACCGCATGAGTAAGCTCGTCTTCATCGCAATTCAGAGGTAGTTTTGTATCATAGTCATCCCTCCTAATCACCGGCTTTGGTCCCTGAGCCTCACATGTCCGGATATCCAAGAAGCATAATTGATGCCAGAGGAGACGTCGAACATGGGTCTCAAGAGGCGACAGCCCATATGTCTCGCCGTCTCGATGTAGACCCATGCATTCAGCCATCCTGGCAGCGGCACCAACAAGTACCGAGTGTGCCCTCGAGAGCTCGGCCCGACAAAGTGGAAGCTTCGGCGGTTTTAGCTTTATACTCAAGTTTATCAAGGGGCCCTGCTACTTACCATGTACATGATGAAGGCCTGCATGGTCTCCACCTTGGTCGTTCGTAGAAAATTGGATTTGCTGAGAGCCGTTTCGGTCCCCATTTTGAGACTTGCCATCCAGTTACCCTTTGGAAATCCGCCTAATTCCCGGATTATTTCGTTCTCGTCCATTGCCACGGCACCGCTGAAGAGCGCAGCAAAGATGACGGCTTGTGTCGACGGCCGCGGTTCGTAGTTTGCATTAACCTCGTCCCAGAAAGTGGCGTACGCTCTCTCAAGGCTGGGACGGTGACAACAGGGTGCTATAGGGTGTACCGACGTAAAATACTGTGCCATGAGTCTATCTGCTGCCGATTTATGCGGCAGAAACGACAGAATCGACGGCTGCTCAATCACCTGGCCGAACAAGAATCCACTTCCGGGCGCCAGGAACTGTGAACCGGGCCTCAAAAAGTCGGGCATTGAAGCATCAGATACACCCCCGTCTGACGTATTGTCTAGTCCGCCCCGGGGGCCCATGCCGCCCGGCATGGCATTCGACGGTGGGCCTCCGTATCCAGCGGGTGGTCCGGGCGAGCGCGGACCCGATAAACCGGCGGACAACTAACAAGAGTTTGTTGTTAATAAGCTTTCAACCAAATAAAGTCTCTTTGGCGGCTCCAATAATACCAAGTCGTTGACATACCTCTTCTGATAATCTGGGCCTCGGCATCCCACCAATCCTCTCCGTCATGCGCAGCTTGCCAATTTGTACGCCGAGGTCTATCATTTCGTCGGTTCCATCTGCATCATCTTCATAGGTCATATCCAGGGCTACCAGAGGTGTTGCCTCCAGATCGCGGTCCTCGTCATAGTCATCCTCCACCTCATCGGCCAGGATGCGCTGCTGCAATGCACTCTTGGGCGTCGTGGACTTGGCAACGTCCCGCTCGAGTTGGCGCTCGAGCGAGCCCTGTTTCTCCTTGATCTCGGCCAAGCGCAGCTGGCTAGCTTCGTCGAGCTTGGGGCCAATGTAGAGACAATCCCGTCCGGCCTTGAGGCAGTTCATGCAGGCAGGAGAAGTCTTGCTGCATTTCAATTTGCGCTTACGGCATTCCAAGCAACTGTTGATCATACGATTCCGACGACGAATGGGCTTCATGGCAGCCGCGGCGGCGGCGGCCGCCATGGCTCCTGCATTGGGGCCGGCATCGAGTCCAGGTGAAGAAGAGGAGACAGCTTGGGTCTGAACTGCAATTTGACCCGGGTGCGGAGGTTGCTGTTGCTGCTGCTGTTGTTGATGATGGTGCTGTTGCTGGTAGAGATGTTGCTGTTCCATGGGATGGTTCGAAATCATGTGCTGATGATCATCTGGCGGGTAGTAGTCAGAGTAGTCGGGCCTCAAGACACTTGTGCCTGTGCCTGGAACTGTGACTATACCTGTGCCAGCAGCAGTGCCTGGTGTGATGGACAGGCCGGCGGCCCGGAAGGTCAAGGTACTATGATGAGCAATAGTCGGGTCTGCACCTGGGGCTGCGCCTGTAGCTGTGCCTGGAGGCCGACTCTGGGCCTGCTGCGCCTGGGGCGGCGGCGGCGGATAATGATTCATGGATTCTCATAGGCTCAGCCGGGTCCCGTCAGATCTATGCCAGATCCAACCAGTAACCGGGCAGCTGGGTAAAAAATATGGCGACGATTCAATTTATTATTCGCAGGAACAAGCCGGGGTGGGAAGGGGGGCCTTGTTTTTCCCCTTCGGTCTGAACTTTCTGTTGTCTTGTCTGTTCCCTCTTGGGTTGAGGCCACACAGTTCTTTCGCGATACGGACGTAAAAAAAAAAAAAGAGCTGGGGGGTTTTAGTAGGTGGTGCGGGCAAGCTGCAAGATTCGGTGGGGGGGAATGTTTGTGTTCGTATATAATCAGACAGATAGATCGGAGGGGTCAGCGCCTTTTTGGTTGGTTCAAGCGACACGACATACGATTGACGAGAGATTTGTTGCTGATGCTCTAGAGCTCGGCCTGGACTTTGAATTGGACCAGACGGCAAGCTCCAGTCCCTTTTTTGTCTGTCCTCTCCTCTCCTACTAGAGTAGTACTTGCCTGCCGGCCGGGCTGGAACTGTTAGATTGATTGCTTGCTTGCTTGCTTGCTTGCTACTCGCGAGCTTGCGTCTGCGGGCAACTCGGCAGAGCTCAGAGCGGGTCTCCTGACGGTTGCATGGGCGGACACTATACAGTAGTGTGTATATATGTATATGTATGTATATGCAAGGTGTGAGAGGCTTGACAAGCAAGAAAAAAGGGACTGCCTATAATTATAATCCTGGGAAATGTGACTGACGAACAGGATGACAGCAAAAAGGGTCTGTCTCTTTTTCTGCCGTTTATTTTTTTTTTCGGTGTGTGTTGGGGATGTATTAGATCCTAGAGTCCTGAACCCTGGTGCTTTTCGGAGGGGGTGGAAGAAACCTGAGGTAGGGCAACAAAGTAGAATAGGTAAAGTACCCAAGTAGGAGGCAGTTTGATTGATTGATTGATAGACAGACAGGTCAGGGACCGGGGAGTAAAGTCAAGTAACGGGAAGCGAAATATAGACAGGTAAGGAAAGGCAAGGTGGTGCAAAGACTCAACAATCAACGCGGGGCAATGGCAATGGCAATCCTACTGCGTTCGTGCGCCGTCTCTCTGTCTCTCTGCTTCTTGTCCTTTTTTTTTTCTCTCTCTCCCCTGTGTGCCTCTCTCTATTGGTCTTCCCGCACGCAACGCGCATGGGCCGTCTTCCCTTGCCTTTGGGGGCCAGTTTGCCGGGAATACTAGGAAGCAAAAAAGCCGCGAGTGGACGATTGAGCGAGTGTAAGTGGGCGAGAGACACTTAAAAAGAAAGAGAGCAGTTGGAGCCGTGATGAGGGAACAGTCTGCGCTCGCCGCTCTGCTTAATGCAGCACCTAACGTCTGGGGTTGGTTGGGCTTTCTGCTTACTGGGGCGAGAGCACGAGTGCCGTACATAGGTCGATACACACGAGATTTCGCTCGTTCCCGATCTGATACCTGACAAAAATCGTCACCAGCTTTGAGTTTCGTGGCGGCCAATCACGAGGTGCTCCGACTCGCGCTCTACCACCAATGAACCGGTCTGTGGTCAAAGTCTCATCTTCTTTTCCTCTTCTCTTCCTTCACCTCTTCTTGCCAAGGTATATGTATCGTTAGTAGCGTCATGTCATGGTCCCCCTCCCCTCCTCCCTCCTAGAACTGAACCAAGCTACAAAGTACCATCTGCTGGTGTCCTTTCTTTTCCCATTGTGTCTCGGACTCACGTGGACGCTGCCGGACTCGGCCCCTTGCGGGTACGGGCTTTCTATTCGGCGATTCTCGCCCCCCCTGCCCGGCGCACATGGCAGATATGAAAAAGAGCCCTGTCTATTGTAAGCCCTGTATGCGGAATCGAGGCGTCACCGAGATGTGCGAGCGGAAGAGCTAGCGGAGCCACCAGAACCGAGAACCCGGTTGTCATATATTCAGATGGTGCCGCATCGAGATAAGCCAAGCCTGAATGCTGGGACTGTCCCGTTTAAGAGGCTGATGAGATGATGCGGCCAAGGGGGGGACCCAACTACTGTCGAGAGATCCGTTCGCCGTGCAACGCGGCACAAAGGACCATGTCGTCCTCCGGCCATGCAGCAGGACACGCCCTTTTTATGCCAATCACACTTGTCGAAAGCTGCCTTCTAGCGAATGATGCTGGGCCACAGGTAGCCACTGCCATTGCACAGCTCATATGACCCAAAAAGCTGCCGTGTCTGCAATATTGAATTTGTGATATATCTCCTGTGGTATTGGCAATAGTATCCGTGCACAGAAAACGTTCTTACGCATGCTGAGAAGGCAAGCTCTATGCAAGCCACTCAAGTCTTATTGATCCTTGACGGCTCTTCCATCTCGTACTATATGCCCAATGATGCCTCGGGATGTCTGCTTTGGCCAGCCGCATAGCCTGCCGATCTACATCTCAAAATCCTATTCTGACTAGATACGGTCAAGACTATCGTCTTCAGACCGGTCGCGGTGACGCCACTTGTGATACCTGCCTCCTCTGCGCCACTGTTGCCGCGCCGCGATTCATCCAAGTTGTCGTCTCCAATCCTTCAAAGCAAGTCCAACCGCCCGAACGTAATTGGCGTCCGTCTCCTTGAGCAGCAGGCCCAGGAACCACTTCAAGCGGCTCGTTCGTCCCGGTTTTCCGGCCTCAAGGTCTCTAGTGACAACATCGAACAGGGCACGCAGTATCGGTGGTGTTAAAGGCGTGTTGTGGCTTTGAAGGAATTCAATGCATCGAGTAATTCGTCGGAAAGCTTCTCTGTCGGAGATATGACGTGTAGAAGCAAGAGCAGCCGCTATCTTTTCGGTCTGACGAATACGTTGTAGCGTCAGTCGAGGTTTCATCCGCTGCTGCTTTGCAGTGAGATGCGAGGAATCTTTATCAACGATCACCTCTTCGCAAGATTCTCTGGTAGATCGTTGTGGTCGTGTCGGGTTGATTTTGAGCGCATCGAGCATCTTTTCTGTGCTCATCTCGTTGGACTCCATCAACTTGTTCAATATCTCTTGAGCAAAGTTTGTGTTCCAGAAATTCTTTGACTTCCAGCGACTTTGATGGTATCGGAAATATACCCACACAGCTAGTTGCGGATGCCCAAGACCAATCGCAAGGTTAGCTAGCGGCTGGATATCGTTGTGGACATGTTTCCTCAGACCGTGAGCGACATGTCTGATATCCTGTTGTCGGCCGAGTCGTTGCAGCAGGTTTGCCAGCATCTTTAGATAACGATGTTGTCCTGTCTTCCAGAGACTGCTACTCACAGTAGCGTAACATGCAGACTCGGGGGACGACTTGAGCTGCCGGTTTACATTTGAGATATGCTTGACGGAGTAGCGACTATTGATCCGCGTCAAGAATAGCTCGCAAATCTGTCGCTGAGTGAGCGGACCTGCGGACGAGCTAGATTCCAGCATGTTGCATACTTCGACAAGATAGTCGTCCTCAACCTGCGGCAGCCGAGCAAGTAGCTGCAGCCATGCAGACCGCATCAGATTGCATCTTGAAGCTTCATGTCCAATTGGATTAGCTTCTAGTTGATTTAAGAGATGCAGTGATATCCTTTGCAATATCCATTGATGTTGAGATATTCTCGAGTCCAGGCTGCTGAGACAACCAGCCATCTTCGTTATTTGGCGGACAATGGTTTTCCTCTCCTTTTTCTCGTTGCTAATTGCGTGCTGGCTCAGCGCATCTAAAAATCCATTGATGTTCATGACAATCGAATATTTGCACTGCACTAAGCGTTCTGCGGGAATATTTGCCATGATCTTTCCGAATAGGACAAGACTATTGATCTCGAGCCTTGACGTGGCAACTAAAAGTGTTGCAAACACTTTATAATCGTCATCAAAGTAGCCATCGCGGGCATTGCTGGTAGCATGGAGGCCATCATTGATAGTCGTGTACAACCGAAGCAGCAGACTGCTACACCTCTTGATGGTAATCGTGCCATTTGAATTGGCGGCAAGGTTGTATGCAGCGTCGGTGATGCGTTTCAAGAAAGAAGCGAGCGTGTCGCGATCAATGGTTTCTTCCGCCACGGCAGTGTACAAGCCGTTGCAAAAGATAGTCAATGTATCATCTGAAAACTGTTCGGGAAACATAGCATCGAGAGCTTTCTCATTGAGCCATTCGGCGTCGAAGGTCCCGTTGAGCGTTGCTGAGGGTAATTCGCGCGCCGAGGGCGTCGCAGCTCGTTCCACGACGCGCACAGCGTCAGGCGAGCTGACAGGAGCAACAGCCTCCACGGAAGCTATTGATGGAAGAAAGGGGTCTAGTCCATCTGCGTACGCGGTCGAAGGGGTCTGCGTCCGAGAGACCCAACTCTGCAAGGACGCAAGGAAGGACTTGGATTCGCCTTGTTCCTGCTGCGCGTGTCTGGCTTCGAACGAGGACGGCGGCGTCCATTTCCACTGCGTAAGATCGACTGCATTCGCGAGTTCCCAAAAGGGCGCCGGTGCGTTCAAGTGACCAAAATTCAATTCTCCCATGTGCCTCTTGCCCGTCCGCCTCCGATTTTCCAACGGCCCGGGCACGTTGGAGCCATTACGACGGCTGGTGACCCTCGATATGGAGCAGACTTGCTCAAAAGCGCTCACGAGCGCGCTTTCGGGTAGCAGAGCACTATCGCATGGTGATCGGAGGCGGCGGCGGATGGCTCTGCAGCATTGGGTCTGTGGCAGAGCCATGGGCAGTAGAGAAGGAGGGAGCGGCGGCGAGGTCGGACTAGACAACCCTCCTCCTCAAATGAAACAACGGCAGTCAGTTATGGTCGGTACATTGCCTATTGAGTGTGTTGTGGGGGTGAAGAAACACCAAAAGATGGTCTCAATGGCGCGCCGTGAGCCAATCGCAGGGCAGGTATTAGGCACAAGAAATTGAGCACAATCGTTTGTAGTGAAGCTATCTCGGTCGGTGAATTCAAGCTTCCATCCGCCGACAAATTTGGCCAGCATCAGCGCTAGCAGCAAGTCACCCCTGCAGAGGCTCTTTCCATCTAGCTTGAGTGTAGTGTCCATTTGGACAGTGGGTGTCAGCCGCAAGTAGCCTTTGCCGTAGGCCTGCAAGGTACTCGCCCTTGTGCTTTTTTGGGGGTCACGGTTAGCGGATTATAGCGGGGTTGTCGATCGCCGGCAGTGGTGATTCTCTCGGCTTGTCGAAATAATCAAGCTTCACCTGGCGCGGGGCTGACATGAACGAACACGCCTCTTGTTCTGCTCGTGTCTCGGTACTTGAAATCCCACCATCTTCGTCCTTGCAGATCGACCTCGAGATTACCATGGCTCACGATTTCCCGCCATTGAAGAATGACCTCATCTTGAGGACGGCTTGGGGTCAGTAAATTTCCTTGACCGCAAAGGTTCTCCCCGAGTATTCCGCCACTGCCCATTTACTGACGTGAGATTGCGATTATAGGCCAAGATGTCGAGCGCGCTCCCATCTGGATCATGAGGCAGGGTATCATTCCATAACACTGCAAAGAGGACGAACCCGCAGCTGATCAATTCTCAGCTGGCCGATACCTGCCCGAGTACCATGAGGCAAAGGGAACCCGGGACTTCTTCGAATGTTGTCGCGACCCCGAGGTCGCCTCGACCTTGACCCTGCAGCCCATTGAGCGATTCGCCGGCCTTCTCGATGCCTCCATTATATTCTCTGATATCCTGGTGATACCGCAGGCCATGGGCATGCACGTAGAAATGGTTGACAAGAAGGGTCCACACTTCCCTCAACCACTGACCTCGCCAGATGATGGCCAGTATGACCAGGTTCTAAAGAAGAATGTCGATGTCGCATCCGAGTTGGACTATGTCTACAAGGCTATCACTCTGACCAGAAAGAAGTTGGACGGAAGGGTTCCTTTGATTGGCTTCTGTGGTGCTCCCTGGACCTTGCTGTGCTACATGGTTGGCAACGATTCAAAGACAAACAAGGAGAGCAAGACTTGGATTTACAAGTACGCAGAAGCTTCGAGGGCCATGTTGCAAAAGATCTCTGAGGTTTGCGTCGAGTACCTTGCTCTGCAAGTCAAGGCTGGAGCTCAGGTAAGTTGTGTGCCGTCCTATATATATACCGATTCTTTTTGACTTATGTATACCTCTAGCTGATCCAAGTATTTGACTCGAATGCTGGCGAGCTTTCACCCTCTGCCTTCAAGGTCTTCAGCGAGCCTTACCTAGCATATATCGCCAAGCACCTCCCCCTCAGACTCAAGGAGATGGGCTTGGAACGTGTGCCCATGATTGTATTCCCCAAGGGTGCCACTGCGATGCTCGACTCGGCTTGCAATCTGGGCTATAACGTTGTCGGACTGGATTGGTGTACAGATCCCGCCGATGCTGTCAAGATCCGTGGTGATCGCCCCATCGTTTTCCAGGGCAACGCCGACCCCGCCATTCTATACGGAACACACGAGAACATCACAGCAACCGTTGAGCACATGGTGAAGGGATTCGGTGGCGGCAAAAAGGGATGGATCGCCAACCTTGGCCATGGTAAGTCAAAAGCAGACGGCTCGTTATACTCCGTGCTAACCAATCATCTCTTAGGAATAACACCATGGGTCAAGCCCGATGATCTCAAATTCTATCTTTCAGAAGTCAAGCGTCTATCCAGTGCATGATCTCTCGTCTTGTTCTCTGTCAAAGATATATATATCATGGACGATTGGGCAGTCTGTCCAAATCTATCCTGTTCCTGTAGAATGAAAAGTTAGATACCAAAAATTACATAAAAAGGAAGCGCTTCGCTCTACATACCAAGTTACAGTCCGGGCTACCTTTCCACCCAGACTCCTGCAGACACCTTGAGATTGTGCATTGTCAGGGGCCACGTCGGCTGCGCAATACCCATCGTCTCCAAAGTCCTTGAGGTGGTCCTGCATGAGCTTGACAGCGACTGCTTTGGCAAAGCCGCGACCGCGATACGGCTCTTCGCAGTGCAGACTGGCGAGCGAACCATCACAACCTGAGTTTTTATTCCCCTAATCAGTCATGACCGCCTTTTGAAGCAGAATCGAGGAGCTCCATGTAATAGACCCTCGTGAGATTTTGTTTTCTATTCTGGAGACTTACTCAGAAAAGCCCACGCAATAGGCGTGCCGTCTTTCAACTTGATGGCCGTCGATGGAAGTGACATGAGTGTTCGCCTGCAGAAAGTTAAAAAAAAAAGATTTAAAAAAAAATTCATTACGTGTTGGCCAGTTTGTTCATCTCTCTATTGACTTTCCTCGCACTCTCCGCTCTCATTTTCAGGTTGATGGGTTAGGAAAAAAGATTCAACACGACTGGCCAAAAGGGACATGGCCTAAACAGAACCAAAACAGAGAAAAGGAAAGAAGGAGACTTACTCGGACCTAGGAATCTTGGTCCGACCAAGAACCACCGCCGTATCCTCGCGAGAGTCCACCGTGGCCCAGGACATGTCGTCGCGGGCCATGTGTTCCTCGGCGCGGGCCACAGCGCCGCGGGGGAGGCCCTCGAGGCGGAAATGCCACTTGTCCCAGACGGTCACGTAGGTGGAACGGGCCCCGAGGTCGAGCAGCCTGTGCCGGACCGGCTCGGCGAGCGTCCCAAACAGGACGGGACCTTGTTTGCGCGGTGGGCCGTGGCCCGCCGCCGTGTACGCGTCCCGCTGGGCCCGGACGGCCTGCAGCAGCGCGACAAGGTGTCGGCCTTGAATGTCGTCGTCGTCGTCATGGTCTTGATTGTTGCTGCTGCTATCGTTTGTCATCTGCCGTCCATCTTGGTGCTCTAGCGACGAGTATAGCCAGACCTCGGTTTCGGGGCCACGGGACACATCGACGTAGGCGGCGGCAAAGGCGGACTCGTCGCCGACAGACAGGATCCGGCTGTACTCTGATGCGCCGGCCGGGTTGTTGTGGGCAAATTGCAGGCGACGGAGCAGCGGCAGCGAGTGCGGCAGGTGACCAGAGAGGAGAGATAAGAGCTCGGGCGTCGGCCGAGCGTGCGTGGTTACAATTGGCTGAGACATGGTTGTATGGTGTGTATAGTAGTTTTCTTTGCTTCTTCTTTTCCCCTCTTGTATAGTCCCACTATAGATAATGATTATCCGGGAGGGGTAGCATAGAATGAAATGATAGGGCAGGCTCACAGATATCAGCCCTCATCTCTTGAACAAGCATAATCGAGGTCTACAGACGCCGTCATCACCATCATCATATACCAATTTCTTCTCTTACTGCTTGTCTCCATTTGTGGGTTCTACTACATACCGTCTGTGCCCTGATGGGCTCATTGAGTCATTGGTGCTTCCTATCTCGGAAGTCGCTTGCGAATGAATCACCAAACACACCTCTCAACCTGCAGATGTGTTATTATATCGTCGTATTCAATTTTTAAAACTCGCTGGGTTTCGACCGGAAAGCCAGATGCAAAAAGTGGTATGAAGTAAAAATCAAAGAAGTCGTCTCGCCTGGTTACTTCTTTTCCGCCTCTCGCTGAATGCACTAATAAAATGCATGAGACTCAACCTTTTAACGCCATGCTTCTCTTCCAATAGTCAGAATGACAGAAAGAACCTCCACCTTATGACACAAGAATTTCTCAAAATTAACCTGAGAGCCTCCATCATGCAGCCATGTGACTACATGGGCAACCCGTATCGCCAAGGTCATGGCCACGACTGTCTGTGTGGGGGCCTCACCGGCGACTCAGCAGCAGATTCCGGAGGGAAGGGACTGGTCTCTGCTCCTCGCTCAGCAGCGGACAATATTCGTTGCCGTACATCATATGTCGAATTCAGGGGACTGCGTTGGGCATCTGGTCCACGCTTAGCAGCGTATAATCTTCGCCTCCACCGCCGGGGAACACGAGAGTCACCTCTGGGGTCAAGGGCGGTCTAAGCCTTCTTGCCAAGGTTCTGGAGCCACTCCTTGCCTTTGGTCTTGAGGCTGGGGCTCTTGCTGCGCTCTTTGCCCTCGTTCTTTGGGGCAGCATCGACATCATCCTCAACGGCGCTCTCATTCTGCTTGCCCTTTCCGGCCTGCTCGGCATTCATCTTGGCGACGTTGGCGGCTCCTCCGCGGCCGACGTGCGTTGCACCCTCACTGGGCCGCCGTGTGACACTGTTGATCCGAATTAGCTCCCGCGCAGTGAAAAAGAGGGGAGACATTTCTCTTGTTGTCCACAGAGGGCAGCCTGAGGAGTTGCAAAAAGTTGGGTCGAGAGCGGAAAGACGACAGAAGTTGAGAGCTTGGAAGTACTTACGGTCCTACGTCCTGCAGAGCGCGAGTCTCGGCTGGATCCTTGTTGGGAGTCATGTTTCCACTGCCACCGCGACCCGTTGTCACCACCGAAGTCTTCAAAGTAGGTGTCTCCAGGTCCTTAGGCAAGATCTTTGGTGACTTGGTGATATCGCCAATGTTGCCGGCACCTCCTCGGCCTGTGGACTGCATGTGGCCAGTCATTTTTGTGCGTGTGTGGTGTGTATGTGTTTGTAGGTTTGGGGAAAATGCAAACGATACGCAAATAGGCTCTCCCTGACCAAAAGGTGAAGCTGTGAGCAGTCCCAAGGTCTTGTTGTGATCTGGGGATTGGAATTTATGTCTTTCCAAGACTGAGTTGAATGATGAGGATCTTTGACTGGCAGACCAGCTTCAGACTTCCACAGCTCGACGGTAAGAGATGTGCGTTTTCTTTTTCTTTTTGTTGACAGTCGCCGAGAAAAAACACACAAGACTGATGAGCAGACAAACAAGCCAGGCACGTTTTGTAACTTTAGTGTCTGGTAGGCTGCGAATGATGTGGGCTGTAATAACAACAATAGAGAGGGATGGTTTGTGTTATGAGATAACAATGTGTAATGGACGAGACGAATTCCAAAGTTTCGATGGGTTGATTTTAATATATGTCGCAAATCTCACGAGACGTTAAACGGACTTGTCTCAATTTAAGAAGAATTCATGCAACCTGTCTTGAAGAGAGAAAATAAAAATGGAGTAGTAGAGTCATTCATCAGTGACAAGCACGTCAGCCAGGCTTTTGGTTACCTAGGTAGGTACAGTTCAGTCAGTAGGTACAACTGTAGCGACTGCCAAGTGAAAAACAGAGAGAGCAAAGACACCAAACAAACGACCCCTTGGGCGCGACCCAGAGAGACGATCACGCGCCCGCTCAGAAATTTTCTTTCCTTCTCCAAGCTATTGACTATTTTTCTCCATCTTGCCGTCCATCCTTCCGCCGCCTCGGCATTGCCTTTTCTCTGCGCCCCGTTCGGGAAGGAAAATCAAATACATCGGCCAAGCCTTGTTTGCCTCTACATCCCGGCTCTAGTGTCATCATAATAAAAAATTCTTGCTTGAGTGATAAAAAGAGAAAGGAAAGAAAATTTCTTTACAATGTTTGGTTCTCCTTGTTACATGAGCTAATAAGGTGTCTACTGTGCACTACTAACTAAACTTTTTAGTGCTCGCGGTCCCTGGTCCTCTGACGTTCTGCAGCCCCTCTTCTGCCAACAAGACCCCTCAAGTACTTCCTAGACAGGGAAATTTTTGGGGCCCATCATGGCTTCCAGCTTATTAGTCATGGCCTTCGCCGCCCAGCGCCCAGCTTGGAGAGAGGGCGCCCGGCAGCAACGCCCGCTGCCGTCCATCAGCCATCTCCCGTGATGGTCCAACACACTGACAGACACACCCCCCTGGAGCTGACTGACTCGATGGTGTCATTCTCTGGGACGCCAAGCCATCAGATCGTGCCTGGATTGTTAGTCAGAGCCGGGCAATAATGGGCACAATGGTCGTAGCAGTCTCATGGATACAGGAAGTAAACTCCAAAACAAGTAATACCTAGAAGACAAGATATCCAGAATGTACATCTCACCACCAGATAGCTATTTTCTTCATGATCCGCGATTTCACCACACTAAATGGATCCTCATCCGCACAGGTGGTGGGGTTGAGATAACATGTCTCTGGATGGGCAGAATTCCTGCCCATCATACCACAGTCGACTTGAATCCTTGGCCTCTTTGCTTTGATGTTTGTGTAGATTTTATTGCAATGAGAGCGAAGCGACCCGATACTGAAGAGAGGCAGGTAGCTTCAAAGAATAGTCAGTTGCTACCCAACATCCACATGCCAGTATATAATTTTGGATATACATATCGTCATCAGACGATCGGACGCCGGGGGTGGAGACTGCTCTGCCTCTGGCACTGACTTGCGAAATAGGTTATATAGTATAAGGCACCCAGTTCATTGGGTATCCGCTAACCTAATTGTATCATATCCAATGAGGTATCTTAGCAGTTAGGCTGCTGGCGGTAGGGTGACTCTCAGCTCGCCTTCTAACAAGCCTTGTTACGCTTCTCATGACCAGCGGACACCGCATGTTTCTCAGCTTCTTCGCATCTAATCCATTCAACAATGAACTTTTTGGATTGCTCTTGATTCTTAGTCCGTCTCATAGTCGCTTCGGTGGGGATCTGCAGGGCTGTGGTACGAGGCAGCGAAGTTGGAGATCTCGCCCACGGCCAAGTTGGCTTCCTCTCTACCAGCCTGGGTAGGCCGAGGTGGCATCCTTTATATGCAACTTTTTCATGTGAGGTAGAGCAACAGAGTGCTCATTTGTGCCATTCCCCAAACTCTTTATGAATTCGCTACTTTCCTAATCGTCGTCGTCATCGTCACCCCTGGCGCGGCGGTTGTCCTGTCCCTCCTTACGGATAGGTATCTTAATCCCTTGGTTGGCAAAGCATTTGCTCAGTGGTGTACTTTCACAGACTCCAGGGAATTTCTTTGCAGAGTAAACCTGGAAAGGCGCACTGTAAGTCACTGCAAGGATTGGTACCCTGCCCGTGTTGACCTTCAGAGGATCACTGGTCTGCTGGTTGCCTTGAGTGTTTGGCACACCGACACAGGAAAAAGAAAAGCGCAGCCTAGGCAGTCGTGAGATTTCACGCGGAAAATAAACAGGGAGTGAGTCTCGCTTACCTGAACCAGCCTTCCGTTCTCACACTCAAGTCTTGCAAAACGAACCAAACACCAACTTTGCCGTCGACATCGTCAAGTCTATTTCCACTTGACACGAGACTCCCAATCAGGTTGCGACTATACATTCCGTTAGGCTGCTGACCGCCTACAGAGTTGTTACGTCCCGCAACCATGTCCTGCTGCTGACCGAGGCCTTGACTAATCTGCTGGGGATACCGTGCTGCATAGGGTGCATGTGCAGCAGGTTGATGAGACGCGACCATGTGAGGTAAGGCATGAGGCATTGCATGCGACCGGTAATCGGCATAGCCAGCTGGGGCAAATCCATCGTATTGTTGTGATGGGTAGGCGTGTGTGTGAGGCTGTTCGGCCATACCTGTGACATTGTCAGCTCTACCTTGGTCAGTGCCTTGGGTTGGAGATCTGTGCATACCATAGACCAAAGCATTTTTGTCCAAGTCTCTGTACGAATATGTGGACATGGAACCCGTCGTAGACGGTGAGTTTGGTGACGGCTTGGCGAGGTTGCATTCACTGGTGCCTTCGGCATTCCAGAGATCCACGGACAAAATCATCATCTGATGTTCAATTTGGCTGAGAAAACTTGTCAGCATGGAATTTTGACTACCGACGTGCAGACAAAATTACTTCACGTCAACCTCTCTCTTCGTCTGATCATCAATGACTATTAGCCTGATGCAGGGAGGAGGCGTAATAGGTCTGCGATCCTTATCGCCAAAGCCGCACATCCTGGCGCGTTGTGGCTGCTGTTCGCATATGAGTCTGGAGTGAGTATTAGCAAAATTTTCTGCGCAATACAGAAGCGGGTGTATCTGACTTGTATGTCCAGGTTCCATCTGACTTAGAGATATCCCGAGGAGACGGGTGCTGTGGCGGCGGCCGTTCATGATCCGCGGCATTGCCCGGAGTCTGAGTGCCCGGAGCGGCGAGTGGGCCACTGCCATTCTCCGCCCGAGCGGGCTCAAGCGCATGGTCTCTCATACCCTGAATGGGAGGAGGGCGAGGCATTTGGGTAGCATTTGGGTCCTGGTAGAAGCCCTGGTGCGGCATAGCCGGATGCGCATGATGCTGGTGTAAATGGTGGACGTGGGCAGGCGGCGGCGGATTGCTATGATGGTATTGCAGCGGGGCATGCTGCAGTGAGCGCTGCGGCTGCGGTGGGTGTTGCGGATGTTGACCGCCGGGCGCTTGATACGGGTTCATGATGAGAATAGCTCCTTCGATGTCCAATTCTCTGCGCGCAAAGAGTAATAACCCCAAGAGGCGGCAAAGGACGTCCGGTTGCTGCTGCTGCTGCTGCCGCTGCTGCTCTTGCTCAGGCAGGAAAGATTGTGGAGTACTGTAGTCCTTTGCGCAACGAGGGGAAGGGCCTTTGCAATATACTAATAGTACATAAGAAATGCTCCCAACTTGCCAAGTGGCGATCAAAACCTGCACCGTGGGTTGTAACAGGACAAATGATGAGTTTTGAGTCTTTTTTTCTTCTCCTCTCAAAGCAGAGAGGCGTTCAGAGCCGGGGCTTGAAATGTTCTGCAGTCAATCCAGTAGGTAAGCATGGAAGCAGCCGCGACATAGGGCGTGGCGGCTTCCTGTCAAATATGGTGCAGAAGGGTAAGGCAGGAGGTCAAGCCTGGGAGAGGCGCAACTTTAATCCACATGGGCAGGTTCCATGTATCTTGGCTGTACCTACTGCAACGTCGAGCAGTAGTGGATTCGAGTTAGTCGGATGGGCAAGTCAACCAGGGGGTAACTCAATTCATCCCAAGTGCTACCAAAAGGTGAAGGGTACATAGGACCTGTAGGTAGGGGTACATCAATGGCCAGGTATTGATTGATTGCCGCAATATGTACACTAAGGCAGGCGCTTGACGTACATACCTACATAGTATCTTGCACAATGTAAAAACAGCATTATGGACTTGCAGATAAGGTATGAAAGACCACATGGGCAGGCAGCACGCATGCGGGAGGAGTGGGCATATGAGAATGCTGTTTAGGAGGTGGGAAAATCTGGCAGGTAATGAATTTCTATTCCGTAACAAAGGTAAAGTTTTGAGAGCAGTCCAGACTGTAAGAATAAAAAGGGAGGAGATTCCAGGGCATCAATGATGGACACCAGGTGCCGAAGTACACTACCAAATGTACTTAGTATACATACCCATCGAATCAATTACCCGTCGCTAGCCCACTTCCAACTCACTTCACACTCCACTCAAGATGCTGACCCCAACATTCGCTGAACCACAATCGCCGTCTTTTCTCCGTCGTCTGTCTGCCACTGAGATGCATACTATGTATATCGTGAAGTACATGACCTTCTCACGGTACATGCCTATCAGGCAAAGGCAGCGCCCCCAGTTTTAGGGTTTCGCAATAATCGGGGTTGTGCGAAGAGGCTTAAGGGGGTTAAGAGCAGCCAATCGGTGAGTTAAGAAGTTGGCTTTCGAATGGGCTGTGCGCCCACCTACCGCGAGCGACCAAAGGACTCGACTCCAGTCAGGAGAGAGTCAGTGCTCCGTCCTGCTTGATACACACGCTGCTCAAGGGTTGACCAGAATCATTTTGTACCCCATCTATCCAGGGGTAGTTAGTACATGCATGCACACCTGAAGTGTACATACTCCCCATCCCCAGTCAATCAGTCAATCCATCCCTCATTAAGTGAAAGAATGAGAGAGTGAGTGCCAGGTGTGCGCATTGCATTTCGGTTTGCAAGCAAGGATTTTCCCATATCGTAGTGTATGTACTATGTAAAATCTACGAAGTAGCACACTTGTGTGTATCACACACACAGCCGACCATCAGCCATTCATGGCCCATGCTGCTGCAATTTGTAGAGTGCATGCAAGCCTGCAAGCATGTAACCTGGCCTGGCATGTGGATTGATGCGCATTGCACAACAACGTTGAGAGGTGGGGAGGCTCGGGAGATGCAGCTTGATATCCGACATTAGGGTGGGGCTGTAATACGTACATGAAAAGATATACACACACACACACACTTACACACATGGAAACGAAAAGTTGGATAAGGCCAAGTAGATACTTTTATAAACATCATATTGTCGCGCTTCGATCAGCTCGAAGGATCTTTCATTAATACGTGAATCGAGACACAAGACTTTGCTGCCAATGCAACAAAACTGGCTTGCATATAGGAAAGTTGATGGAAAGATTTTCTTTTCACTATATATTCATGCTATAGTCGCCTTGAAATTTCTGAGCTACTCGGTTCGTGACTTTTCTCCATAGAGAAATCATTTTAGTTTTCTACTTTATGTGTTTTCACATTCTACGCGCTATGAATTACCCTCCATTCATCCTCGTTTATCGTTCCAGCCAAACTCTTCCACGAGCTTCGAGATCTTGACACCACCATTTCTTCTAGTTGAACAGCATGGATGGCAAAAAAGTCAGTGGTATCCTCGGGGTTGAAGCCTTGGAGGGTCTGTATGCGAACTTGTTCCTCGCTGTAATCTGTACAGGTTGCTGCGGTGTATCGAGCGGAGAGGACGTGGGCAACACCCTTGTAGACGATCATGTTGACCATTCCCTGGACGTGCTTCTGGCTGAAAATGACGGATTTCCCCATTAGCTCACGTCCATGGGGAAGGCACAAGCTTGAAGTAAGACCATTCAAGTAAGGATACAAGAGGGATATGACGAATACCAATGCCCTTGTAGAGCGCTGTGTCCATATAGCAAGGCTTAACAATATCCACTTCAGTGCCACTCGCTCAACGCCATTGCGGCCGGTAACATCGTCCGGGGCTTTGAAGATCTTGAGGGAATAGACATCACTCAGAGCTTACGAGACTGAGCCCGAGCATGTGCCAAGACTCGTAGGGCTTAGGACGGTGCACTGAGGAGCGAAGAACTCCAAGTGCTGTCAGTGGTGACTGCATACATGGTCCAGCTCTATATGACTTTGTTGGATGCTGTCGTAGTAACACGGTCCGATTATGAACTAGTCAGGTAATGTTTGAAACCATGGACAACGCATGCGCGGGAGGCAGTGATGAATTATTATCTATTGCTGGAGGTGTACCATTTACGGAAGCGACTAGACAGGAATCTGGTATGCTTGTGAGAAGGGGGAAATGTCATGGAAAGAATTCGTGTTGTAGATCCCGCGCGCTTCACAGACGTAAATATACTTTACCTACCTGTATCATATGTGAAATGCCGGCAGACATGACCTCGCGCCGCCGCAACGCATGGATAGCCAGCCTACACTTAAGGTACTGCTCCTTAGGGTCGCGCTAAGTACGGGGGCTAATGTAGTCACTAATCATGGGGGTTCTGAATGTGCCTGGTAGGAGGTAGACTTTGGCCAACTAGAGACGCAATGGCACGCCAGAACTCATCACTTTTGGAAGCAATTGCGCCGTCTAGAAGTCCTTTATTTTCAACCATTACTGGATCCAAGGACTTGAGTTAGACAGACCCAGCACACCGGTTGGATTGAGAATGTGATGAGCAGCAACCTTTTCGAGATTCAATGCAACTACCAATATTAGGTAGGTACACATATCATACACATCGATTTGGATATACATTTCCTCATAAAACTAACTGAAAGAGAACCACGACCCAGGCCTCTGGACCAACTCCGACTGGGTCATTCCATTTTTTGCATGGTTCAGGGGTGGTCGCAGTGAATCCAAGTAGTGATACCTGTGTCATGGGAATCCTTTCCCGTCCTGATCTTCCCAGGGCCCCGGAAAGGTTGCAATTGGGGCCCGTCGGCTCGAAATTTGTCATTTACCACTCCCGAGACCTTTTCCCCCCAAAGGCCAAGAGCAGAAATAACATTGAGGGTTAGTGGTCAGCTTTGTCTTGCTTTGGATGTTGGATCAATGGTCAAGTCCATCTAAGTAGTACACTGCAAGCATAAGGAGGAGGCCTAGGGCGATGTCCCAAGCACTTTGCTTTGAATATCAAGGCCAATTGACAAATGCTTGGCATCTTTTTTTCTTTTTTTCTTCTATTCCGCCGTGCCTCAAGCCAACACCCCAACTCTTGATGGATCAATCACTACAGTTCTGCGTACCTCAATCACTTGATCTCATTTTCCGAAAACGGCCAACGTCAGGCAGTTTCTGCAAGACCTTTTCTTCTTCTTCTTTTCCTTCCGGGTGGCATTCATGCACAAAAACAAACAAACAAACCACTTTGCCGTGGCCAGTACTCTATACCATCCGGGGACATTGTGGAGATGAGGTTCCATTGCTACAACATTGGCATTGGGATGGCAACAAGCATTTCAATTCACCGTGGCCCAACTTGCAAGGTCTTGTTCATGGATGCAGCCCGTCGTCAGCCATACAAACGATTCATTGGCCTTGTTGATTTATTAGGGTGCCCAGGCTACAGCTAGGATCGAAGCAACATATATGGCCGCCTGCTCATCATCCACCTCCCGCCAGCTAGCAACTACATTGATGTACAAACTTGGGTTGCCGGCTAGAGATTTATGTTCTTGTGACAAGCGAGTCTCTCGGCTGGGTCGTCCAACTCCAGTGGATGACTTCCCATATTTGGCATATATTGCAGCGTGCCCTTGATACAAGCGTGTATGCGGCGGCGGTTTTCTTTTTGTCCGAGCTTTTGACAAGACTCCGTTTTTTCTTTCTTCTCTCCCCAAACGGTTATCACGCGGCCTTCTATGATGCTATCTATGCTGACGCGACGCGGGTCCCTGTCTGCTTAATCGACTATCCAAGGACTTCAATGCAACAACGTTGCAGATCGTCCATGCAAGTCGGCGTTCAATTAGATCCCCTCCCATGCCATCTTTGAATTTTCTTCCCACCTCCAGCTCTCGTCACGTAGTCATGTACCGAGCCCGCTTGCATAGTACCATGTACATGCAAAATCCCGCTCTTCGCCAAACATGCTGATGGTCAGTCCGCAACAGCTCCAAGCAAGCGCCTTGTCTTGTTCTTGTTGATCGCTTCGGGTGACGAAGCCCAAAGCTTCTTTCTCATTTCCAATGGGGAACCCCTTAAGTGACCTTGAGGTCATTGCTTTTTATGCACCATCGAATAAAGACGGCATCTTGGAAAGGGTCGTCGACCTTCTCGCTTGTCTTCCAGGCTTTTGTTCAAGGTTGTGTGAATGATTTGCATCTTCACTGTGGATGTTGTACAACCTCACGACGCACGTAGCCCTTTGGTGTTTCCACGGGTCCCCATGTGGCGGTGAATGCTTTAGGCAGGAAGAGTGTGAAATTGCAACCTGAGGCTCAGCATTTGTGCTGCGAGTCCAGTGATTGTCCTGGGAGCCAGTACATTAGAATTGGGCGTTCCAGTTACTATCGTCATGCTGGTGTCTCAAGACGGCTCCTATACAATCCCCAAACATCTACAGAGTCCATCGTTAAGCTGGTACTCTTGACGAAGCAAGACATGCTACACCCAACCCAATGGTTCGTCCAACGCCCTCATTCAACACCAGCACCACTGTGCAACCAATAGACGATCAAGTCTCCAAACCTGCCGAGACCCAAAAAAAAAAAAAAAAAAAAGGACAGACAACGTTGAGATGCAACAACCACTGTCCTATACCTCGGCCGGTCTCGCCTTTGTCCGTCGCTGCTGCCGTGTAACGACGCCTACCGAGAGACGAAACAAATTCGCCAGCAGGAATTTTAGGCGCTCAATGTAAAAAAAGCAATCATTGGAACAACAGAATTTCGTTCCAAAAGGAGGAAACAGGTACTGTATTCCAATATATGAGTATGCGCGGATATGCAGCCAAAACAACACGCCCCAGGGCACGTGGCCGTCGTGGTTTGGGCCGTTTCGTTTCGTTTCTTTTCTTTCTCTCTACCGCTTTCGTTGATTCTTGCCTTATTCGCGCCCTTTGCGACTCTATAAGGAGGTAATACTTGGTTTGAACGTGCAGAAATGGCGAGGAATCCACCACACACATTGTTCTTGGTTATGCGAGGTGAATTGTCCCACTCGTTTCTTACAAGGTATCAACACTCCCTCCTCTTGTCCTACTGCTGCGTTTCCGAGACTACTTCTGAGCGGGTAAACACCAAGTAAGCTGATTTGACCGGTATCTCGAGACACGACGCGAATTCCAAGACGGTCGAAATATACCGATAAAATACGAAAACCAACAGAATCGATAGCCTTGCCTTAATCTACCTCGCCCATGCTATGAAATTAAATTGGTCAACATGATTCAGCGGAAATTCCAGATCACATTGAGCTCATGAACGGGCTTCAACTTCGACCCTTCTTGGTTATCAATTCTGACGTTAATGCCCGATAAAAGATGCTAGCTAGACTGTAGAGAAACTTATTTAGATTGTTAAAATGTTGTCATGATTCTACCGCAACCAATTCGTGTTGTTATCATTTTTTGAGCCATGTCACGGTACGTATGTCACAGCACAGGAAAGTTGTGCATCGTGTTTCTAGGTTTCAGGGCCATATGATTGATTGATGATACATTTCACCATCTTTTAAAATGGCCTTTTTTATTCTCAAACCCTTCTACCTCGAGGGCACGCCTCAGATCAACCCCTCGCAAAGTGTCTGAAAGAGCACGAGAATATTTCGTTTCCCCTTGGGTCACACCCTCCGTTTTCGCCCAACCCAGGGCAGAAGTCCACTCTTGATTAACGCAACCAAGTGGCGGACAAAGGTTGCAAATAGGGGGGGGGGGGGGGGGGGGAATCAAGAAATACAAATAAGTAACAGGTGGTTTGTCCAGTATGGTATCTTCGCAACGTGTAGGTATCATGCGGCGACAAACGAGGAGAGGAAAAAAGGATTGCTCCCCGGCCTTCTCTGACACAGGCACCGGGTGAGTCATGAGAATCAGAAGCGAAAATAAGAAGTTGTAATACCCCTCTCCCGTCCAGAGACATCTTTTGATCCATTGCTGAGATGCTTGTCTTTGCTCTGTGCTGTCCATATTTTGGCATTCGCAATTCGCGCGCTCGCTAGTTCATGATTCCCGTCAAGACATTGGCTTCGTACACTGTAATGCCCAGCCCGGCCTAATCAAATATGAGAAAAAAGAAAATTGAAAAAAGAAGAAGTAAAATTCAACGCTCTGCCTTTCGCCTTTCGCCTTGCCTGGTGTTAGAATGAACAAAATAAATGGCTCCAGTGCCAAATATTTCGCGTAATGTTGTACACAGAAGCCATCGGTGCTTTCATGCCCGAGTCTCTGGCCTCTTTGTACGTGGTATTAAATTGATTGTCTGAATCGCAAAAGGAGCAGGCAGCATGAAGCTACCATGTGCTTGAAAAAAACCCAGTTGGCGATTGCTGGCTGTTGGTGGAATCAGTCGTCGGCAAGTTTGGCAAAATGTTTCGACCATAACCAGCCAACGAGATTATTGGGGTCGTCTTGGTTCTTGGCAAGCCACAGTTCACCCTTCTCCGCTATCACATCAAAGATCTATCCCGGGTTAATGTAAGTCCAAAATTAGACAAGAATGATTAGTGAAGACTCACCTCGCCGGCTTGGTACGTGAGGTAAGGGTACCCAGCTTCCACCTTCGTTGTTTCAATGTTGAATTCAAAAAGTGAGGCTGCGAGCCACATCACATTATAGCCGTTAATGGGCTGCCTTTCGCGTGAAGAAGCGCGAGATGACGCGCGCGACGGCCTCACGCTTCTCTCTGGTCTCTCTGGTCTCTCTGGTCTCTCTGGTGCATCTGGCAATGGCATGGCAGAGCTGAAGAGGCCCGAAAATCGCTGAGGCTGCGCCAAGTCTGGTGGTGATTGCTGACCAGATGGGAAAGCTGAATTCGAGTAGCGTTTGGTCGGGAATCCAGAGTCTGTGCTCTGACGAGGAAGGCTACCAGAATCGTAGCTCTGGCCAGTGCCAGGACGTATTCCAGGTCGTACCGCCCCTGAATGGTCTATCGAATGCAACGTGTGGGTTTCGGTCAGCGTGTTAGTGCTACCGCCAGCATAGTAGTCACGGTAATAGGAGTGCTGTGGACTGGGCATCGATTGTATCGATGGGGATACTGTAAACTGCCCACTGTGACGATTGACAAAGTCGGGTGTCGGTAGACAAGGTGCCACGTCACTATTCACTGATAGTCCTCGTCCTGATATGTTAGAAAGCTCCGATGGCCGTGGTCGAAGTCGATGTGGTTGGTCATCGTTACTGGACTGTGAAGGTCGAGGTTTCGATCCGGGGTTTAGGATAGACATGGAGTTAATCTGCTCCTCCTGATACTTGAATTCGCGCTGGAAACTCGTGACAATGTCGGACACTTCAGGAATTTGGGAATTACCCAGAACAACCTTGACCTTTTCTTTCCAGATCGCGTACCACTGCGTTTGGATATTGACCAGATTGCCAAGGCAAATGTTCCCGACCTTCTCGGTCAGTGCAGAAAGCTTGGGCAGCTCCTTCTTCAGGGCATCATTTAGTGCTTCATATTGCTCTACGCATTCGACCAGCTGCTTGTCCAGTTTCTTGCCAGCTTTCTTGAGCTGCATGGACTTCTCATAATCGGCTCGTCGTTTGGTCCTCTTCTTCATGGCAAGAGATGGATTGCTATATGCCTTGATGACCATTTCGAAGGGTTCAATGACTTGCTTTCTGACTTGGGAGAGCTGCAAATTTGTGAGCATGAATGGGGACGTGAGTTCATGATTATGTCACTTACATGCTGCTCAAGGGCAACTTTCTCAATATCTCTCATAGACACATTGAAACGCACCCACTTGCTCTCCAACTCGGGATGCGGTGAAGGTTGTAGTCGCATGACCAGCTCCATCGATGAGAGATACTGCAGGAACTCATGGACATACGCGCTGACTTGCCTTGTGTAAAATTCGACGTCTCGGAGAACTACCTGGAGGCGGAGATAGTCGTCACCGAATTTCTCGTGAAGTTTCAAATAATCGGCATCCTCGGCAGGTTTGTTGCTAGCAGCTTGAAGCTTGTCGACACGCTTGCCAAAAGCTCTGGCGAAACCTCCAACGGAATCTTTCCTCTTGCGGCCGACAATCTGGCCAACGAGCTCAAAGTTCTTCTTGGTTTTGTTAATTTCTTCAATTGCATCTTCCAGAGTGGCTTTGGCCCCTTCTAGTGCGGGGCGGTCCGGGTGATCAGGGGGGGTCTCATGGAGCAGCTGAATTAGCAGATTGGGATACTTCGTAATTCTTTGCATGGGCTTGATCAACAAAGAATCAAGATTCCATGCTTTTGTGAGGTCTCGAGCTACCTCGTTGCACTCGTTTAGCCAGACCTTGACTGTGGCATCCTCTTGTATCTGAATTAGCTGTTTGGCAGCATGGTCGCTGTTCTTCAAGAAGGTCTCGTGAATGATCTTCATCTTCTCAATGTTGCGTTGGAAGATGGGCCCGAGAGATGTCTCACGATCTTTCCCATCATCCAACTGGCCCACACTCGCGATAGATCCCGCAATACTATCGGTCTGGCTTGATGTGTCCTTTTGAACAATCGACCTGGATGTTTTTGGGACATAAACGCTGGCAACACCTTCTTTTAGTTCAGCCAGGAAAGCTGTGTGGAATGCAATAATCTGATCAGTGTTTCGGAAGATGAGTTTGATGATCTTGTCGTCGAGTTTAGGGCAAGCCTCTGCGGTTCCCTTGTAGATTTCTTCGACAATGCTCATATCCCGAACAAAGAAGGCTTCTGTGTCGACCAATTCCTTCAGAGTTTCCAGGCGAGTAAACAATCGCTTCCTCTCCTTGGCAGAAATCCCAGTCGAATTCTCTTGCTGATCAAAACTGTCTGCAAGCGTTGTTTGACTGTCCATCCGCGTCCTGGTTGATGCTGGCCCTTCGGAATTCTCGAATGAGCCTTGGTCGATTGAACGTGGGGTAGAGCCTGGCAAGTCAAAACTCTCGCTCTGAGGCCTGGACGCAGAAAATGAACTGTAGCCATCCTGACCATTGTGCAGGTAGCTGCTTGGACGCGTATCGTCAAAATAGTCACTGGGTGGCGCAGAACTCAAATCCGGGAAAGTAGCTTCACCTGGAGGCGGAGGTGGAGAGTGATCCGGCAAGTTGGGAACAGCGAATTGCGAACTATTCTGGCGAGTAACATAGTCCACGACAAAACCACCACCTGTGTCTAGCTCAGGCAGCTGATGACCTGATGTTGGAAGCTGGTTCCCTGTGAGATCGGGACGACGATAACTGCCGTGGGGTGAAGTCTCTGGACTTGAGGGATACAACTCGGATCTGCGCTGCGCTCTCGAACCTGCATCAGAAATCGAATCACTATCACGATAAGCCGAGTTCGTGAGCTTGACAGAGTATTCTTGATACTCAGTGTGGCTGTCGATAGAATAGTCGGTCCAAACGGTGTTCTGGCTCGAGCGGTTCCCAGAGACTGATGTCCTGGGAACCGTCAGACTCGGCCTTGGCTCTCCTATCCTCTTTGTCTCGGTCGAAAATCTGGAAATGTCCGAATGCGCAAATTCGTTCTGCTCCATGGACCATGTTCTGGTATGACGACTAGAAGTCTTTGATGCTCCAGAGCTGCGAAGACGTGCTGCGGACTCGGCCACATTTGGGCCTATATAGAATTCTTCCAGCCTCCTGAGCGGTGTGTCTCGATCACTGAAATCATCACTAGATGAAGTCTCTTGCCTGTACTGTGTATTCTGTTCTTGACGTGAATGGTCCCGAATTGGGTCTTGCTGGCTGGTCTCAACGGGCAGCGCGCCGTTCAGGGATGATCCTTCGCCAGCTTCTGGAAACTCGACAATAAACTCAGACTCTCGATTGGCAGTGGCCACGATGTTCTGGTGCGTGGGTGACGTAGATGGTTGTGGTGCATATTCGTCCTTTGAATGATATTCTGAGCTGCGGTCAGTTGCTATGCCGCTGCTTGGAATAGCCACTCCCTCAGACTGCGGTGATGTCACGTCGAGAGATATGTTGATAGATGCCGAGTCATCTTGCGGGGATTCCTCGAACGGCGATCTATATTCAGAAACAGTATGTGCGATATTTGCAACCTCGACATTGTCATTATAGCCAATTCCGTGTGGGTCCGCTGTTTGATGGGGAGGTTCGGTTTGAGCTTCAGTATCAAATTCGGTGGTATCTGATGCAGCCGAAGGCAGTGCTTCTTCATGTCGTCCGGGTGAGCCAAATGAGGGAAATGTACCAGGCATGCCGAGGGTAGGCGAATCCAGAGTGATCTTTGTTGTAGTCGATTTTGTGCCAGGCACTAGAAAGTCTGGAGGCAGAGGCGGCTCCGAAGCAATGCCTGCTGATGTTGCGCCAGGCACTAGAAAATCTGGAGGTAGAGGCGGTTCCGAAGTTATGGCTGCTGATGGTGTGCTAGGCACCAGAAAATCTGGAGGTAGGGGCGGTTCCGAAGCAATGGCTGCTGATGTTGCGCCAGGCACTAGAAAATCTGGAGGTAATGGCGGTTCCGAAGCGATGGCTGCTGATGTTGGTCCTGGATGATCTTGTTGTTTGCTACGAAGTACAGGTTCGGTAAGAGAGGCCTCAGCTTTCAGAGCAGCCATTTCTTCCTCCTCGCGTTGGCTTTCAATATCACGTTGGTGGGCTTGCTCGGCTGCAATCCGATCCTCCTCAGCTCTCCGTCGCTTCTCTTCTTCGATTGCTGCTTGTCTCTTGGCAGCCGCCTTGGCCTCGGTCTCCTTGATGCTTTTCGTATACGAGAGTTTGATCTGCTCTCGGCGAGCATTAAAGTCGATGGGGCCCATAGAAAGCTTTCTCCTCCTAGGTTCGGTATGCTTACTTGTCCTCGAATCGGCTTTTGCAGGAGACCTGCCTCTCTCGACAGCTCGCATCCTGGAGCTTGCGGTCGATGCGCTTGAGACGGGTTGCCGAGGTCGTGAGCTACGCAGTGGCGGCGAGAGCTTAGGTGGTGGCGCAGAGATGTAGGCGTTGAGACGTGTATTACTGTTGGGGGTGATTGCTCCAGGGCGCGACTTTCCCGTTTGACCGCTCGTTGGTGTCTTTGCCCTTGTCGAAGACGTATTGATCGGTGTTGGTTTCGGTATTCTACCCTGAGTCCTACTGGCTGGGCGTTTTCCAGCTGATGGAGTGTTAGATCGAGAGAAAGGAGGGCTCTCTGCAGACGACGAAGAGGGACTGTTCTTGCGAATCGATACAGGCAACTTGGATGTGCCAGCAATGGTCCGATCTGAGCTCGAGGCTACTTGTTGCTTGCGGGAAGTCAGTGGTGTTTTCAATTGCGCCAAAGCAGCTTTTGTCCCTGCCAGATCGCTATGAGATCTGTTGTGACTCTTGTATAGCTTCGCTGGGGATGCACTCCTGTCGCGTCTGGGCCCGCTATTGCGATACCAGTCCGTCGGCGAAGCAGGCTCAGCGTCGGCGTGCGAAAGGCTTCTCTGATGTAGCATGGAGGCAGCCTGAATGTTTGACTCGGAGGTTCGTCTTTGCCTCAGCCCGTCAATCCCGTAGCCAGCCGTTCCTATTTCGTGCTCTCCTGGAAGAATCTCGCCAAAAAGAAGAGGGCCCTGGCCAGCTGACTTGGCATTATTAGTTTCCGGAGCAGGCACGGTGGGTATTGTTTGTGCGCTAATCGGCGAATCTGGTGAGAGATTACTCATGGATTTGGAGGATAGGCTGTTGCTATTTCGTGGTTTCGATATGCGACTTGCAAATGACTGTGAATTGCTCGACACCTGATCCTCGGGATGATACCTGGGTCTTTGTGATGGTCGCGAGGCGTGTGTGCTGCCTGATGTCGAATGTGACTTGAGTGTTGGAGGTGTCGAGCCATTGACACTACTGCTCCCAACTCCGCGATAGCCGGCCGATGCAGACGGGGAATCTCGAGGCACGGAGCGAGGGGCGGATCCCCGAGTAGAAGGCATAGCGGCGGTACTTCCATTGCTCACCTGCGCCGCAGCATTCTGATCGAAACGCTTTTTAAGGTCTTTAACGCTGGGTTGTCTGCTACTGTAAGCTGCAGGTCTCAACTTTGAAGCGCCACCAACGCTGCCCTCGGTCAAGGGCGCGGAGACTGAACGTGAAGCCGATCTAGCTCCAGTTTTTGGAGTTGCGGGCACTGCAGGATGCTTGGGTGTCGAGCCGTTGCTGTTTGATCGCAGCGAGGCGTTGGGGTTCTGCCTCTGCGCAGGTGTGGCTGTCGATGACGACGCCATCAATCTGTCGTGTTCGCTGCCGGCACTCGAGTCCAGCGTGGGCAGGTTGACAGCACGGTAGGATTTGTAAAAGTCGTCGGGATTGGCGATGCCATTCAGATTGGCGTTTGCGTTTGCAGCGTGGACGTTGTTTGCAGCATTGGAAGCAAGGGCGCCAGAGCGTGAATGCTGCAGACGCAACGGCACAGCCTCGGCGCCGTTAGGATTGCTGCTACTGCTTCTGCTGCTGCTACTACTGCTGTACCTATTGGAGTACAGGTGCTCTGCACGGACGGCGGAATGCTCGACGTCAGGATAGTAAAGCTCGCGGTCTCTCAGCGAGATGTCGTCGTTGTCGTCGTAGTTGCGAGGTTGCGACGACTGGGGGGTTGGGTGATGAGCACGACCGACAAGTCGATCCTCCTGGTCACGAATGCCGGCCTCCATTGTGGGAAGGGTCGTCGGGTGGCCTGGACATCACCCCTGGGAGAATCAGGCCTCAAGTGGTTACAGGGGAGCGGTACTGTGGGTTGGGATGGGATGTTAGAAGCGTCTCTCCGGCCGTTTGGATTTTTGGCTTTGGTTTGCGTCGAGGCTCGCGCTTGGCCTCTGGCGGCGGCCGCGGGCAGTCCCTGTGGTTCGCAGACGTGCTTTTCAGTGTGGCTCATTCAGGCATTCATCGCCCTACCTGCGGTCCAGTCAATTGTCGACTTGCAGACCGACCGATGAGACGCGAATGGCAATTCATCCACAAGCAGCCTGGCCCGTTTCGCTTCTGCGCCTGCTGTGGGTGGTATGGATTGAATGGGTTTCGTCTCGTCTGGGGACCGGGGGGGAACAAGGTACAGAGCAGATTGGATGGGGTCTTTTTGGTGGGTAGGTTGTAGTGCACACAGTTTTTAGTGAAGGCATGTACGAAGTAGTGGTAGTGGGCAGGCCGCCGTGTGTTCTGTGTGCCAAGTATTTAGACGGGAACGCGGCGGCATATACCTAGGCTACACACGTAGGTGGGTTGTAGCTACTGACTCTGAAGACTTTCCAGTTGAGTGAGCTCTGTTATCTCGGTTGAGTAGTCGTCTGGTTGTTTACCTAGGTACGGGCTATCTATGTAGTGTAGGTACGTAAGTACTTAGGCATGTAGCTCATAGACAAGCCTGCATGTAATTGTCTCCAGACTGATATGCGATTGTGCGGAGTCCAGCCCCAATGTAAATGATCCAACTCTCGAAATTCATGGGGGGTTTTTTTCTTTTTCTTTTTGAACAATTACTATCTACCGGAACTATCTCCCAGCACGGAGAAAAACTGAGATGAATGCACTACTGCTGACAGGGCTCTCCTCGAACGTGGTATCTACCTAGGGAGACCAGATCAACAGCCAGCAACGAGGCGTTAGCACTAGTAGAGTAGCTAGGTAGCACAGATTTCTTTGTGCATGGAAGTGGGGGGAGACAATCGGACAAGCAGCGAAGGCCATACTCCAGTTTAGCTCGTAAGCCCAGATCAATTGATTCCCAGGTGGATGGATGGGAATGGAATTTCCCCAGGTTCCCATGCAAACAACATTGATCCTTTGGTTCATGACGTGGATTGATATGTGCCTTTATTTTTTCTCTTTCTTTTTTTCTCCAGTCTGATGCCCAATAATGGTACTACCAGTTGGCAGGCAGGCAAAGCAATCCTGTTTATAATTTTTCACAAATCATTTTGCTTGCTCACACCAATCCATGAATCCAAGGAATCAGACAACAGTTATCCCGGATAACGAGACTAGTTTGCTGGCATTGCAGCTGGCAGGTGGGCAGGGTCTCAGATTTCAGTCGGTCTGTCGACAAACATGAGTTGGGCATTTGGGTGAGGTCAACCAATAGAACCCGTGTCTTGTGTACAGAAGCACGCCGGGCGGTAATCCATGCGCTGGTTTTGCAGCTTCGGTTCTTCTGACTCTCTCGCCCTGTTCATAAAGTCGCCTTCTCATGCTCTAGCCGACCACCCCTGGTCAATCTATCTAGACCCGACCAGCTATCTGATGTATGTAGGCAGTAGCTCGTAGGTAGTAGGCATACATAGTAGAATTGTCATGCATGTGAGTCTGACGACGGACTGTAAGCCGGCATTGCCCCCAAGGAGATCGTGTTTTGTTGCGGGATCAACGCCTACCCATTCGTCTACGTACAGCATCATGCCTGCATGAGACACCTCATCCGCTGTAGCCAAGGCCAAGCCAGTAGATGTCCTTTGCACTGGATAATTCAACCAGGCGTGTCGATCCTGGGCTAACAAGGAATACTCTGTAGAGTATTGCATGATGATGTGAGCAAGAACTAGGTAGATTTGCGCCTACATAGAGTCTTGTTACAAAAATCAATCTATTTCGTTGCTTGTGTACTACATGGTGGACACAGGTAATATAGTGTCTGTATTCTATCCTTAGATCCGGAGATTTGGCCCGTGGTCTTTGACTGGTATATATTGGTTGCGCCAATAAGGCTCAGGGTAGTCATTTCCGCATTGCCCATGAATAGCAACCATCTAGCACTTCTGACTGTCTTGTCCTGCTTGTGGAGGGAAGGCGTGGAGAAGGAGCAGAAAAAAGGAAGGGAAGAATTCAAGAAAGAAAGGTCAAGATAACGTTTCCAATGCAGATGAGGAGGTAGCATGAGAAGCCAAGCCTTGCTAAAACTCCCACCTGAGTATCCCGTCCCTCGTCGAGCAAGCAGTCAGACATATCATCGAAGCCCTCGGTCTAAATATTAGGACGGAATTCATCCAGAGGCCATGTGCTATTGTTGCCATCGTAACTTTGATGTCCTGTAAATTAATTGACATTGATGATATTCTTGCTGGGTTGGCAAATTCTATGTGCAGCTAATTGCATCTTCCAGGCGGATTGCTCTTGTTGCCAATCCCTCGACGAATGCTCTCGGCCAGTATTTATTTGGTAGGTACTTCTGCAATCATGTTTCTCACCGCGCTGGGGTTCTTGACGATCGCCAACCTCATCTGATTCTCAAATGAGACCCATCCGTTCAACGGGCCTCCGAGAAGGAAAGAAAAAGAAAAGCTCAATGGTTCCGCAGCGGTAACTGGCTGGTCGTCAGCTGACTGACCAATTCGACTACCTTACCCAGACGTAAACGCCAGAGCAAACAAAGAGAGACACAATGAATGCGCCGGTCTGCACTGCTCTGACCTAGCTGTTCTTTGACTTTCAGTGCTATGGTTTTATTGTCTCGGATATTTCCCTCAATTGCTGCGGGCGACAACTCCCAACCAGCGCCCCAAAAGGCCACCCGAGACGCCTCAGGTTGAGGCATGAATTTTGATTACCTGCCTTCTGGCATCCAACGGGTGTTGCATCTACCCTCTGCTCGGGTAGTGGCTTGAACTCTCTTTCTTACGCTCGCAGCATGCCCGGTCGGCAACTTTAAAATGCGGGCGGCTGCAACGGCAACAGACCATCGGTTCAAGCACTGCATTGCAGGCACCAGCTCTCCCTCCCTCTCTCTCTGCTTGAAGTTTGAGCTTTAGGAGAAGGCGGATTGGTGGATGGTCTCCCATTTATTCATGGGCCACTTGTTTGGGAGTGCGGGTCGTGTGTGGAATATATTAGATGCCCCTTCATTGACTGGCCGCCATGGTCGGGGCCAGGGAGTGGATTGACCTCCATGCGGCTGTGCATGATTTCAGGGACCAAGTTGATGGCGTCAAGCCTCTACATCTTGAGTTACCCCCCAATCAGATAGCCATTCTCTAAATAACACTTGGATCGCTTCATTGTATGCATTCTAGATGAGAGACAGTGAAGAGCGAAGCAACAAAACAAAGTGAGACAATTGAACTGGCGAGATCGGTCTGTGCAGAGTGCTACCGGTGGACATTATGTCAGATTCGAGCATAATTGCGAACATTGAAGACATCTTTCTAACAGAGTACGTACATACTTTGCAGGTCGACAGGTATCTTTCCAACGATGGGCTGGGCTGGAGCCCATCCCTGACCGTTTGTATTCTAGTAATTCCAGAAAATATCCAAGGCGATACAAGCACACATGGCCCATGGTAGTTTGGTGCCATGTGTCGTTAGCTCTTTCGAAGTTCGAGTCGACACCTTAAGTGAGTCAGTGGCACTAGCAACTACTTACACAGTACCTAGACACACTAGATAGGCGCTATATCTTTGGGAACCTCAGATCATCCGGAGCGCACGTTCCTCCCTACCTTAGCCCTATCAAATGCATCTCGGACTTTCAACACGCGTCGCACTTATCGCGTCTCAACTCGGAAGCACGCGCTGCCAACCCGGCCGTTGCTGAAGGTTTTCCATTGTTTTGCATGTCACCCGGTCATTGATCAGGTTGCATTTTGTTTATCATACACAGCGTGGGATGTCACCCTTGTGCCGCGAATAGGAACCCTTTCCCCTTGTCAGGTTGACTGGCAGCAATGCAAAACCCACATGGTAGTACGATAAAGCGAGCCAAACTGCACCTAGCGCTTGGGGTATACTATAAGTCATCTTCAACTAGCTCCTGGCACCGTAACAACACCCCAACCCAATATCAAAGGTAATCTCCTATTGGTGGTCAGATGTCGCAACAAGCATTCTGTTCGCTTTCTCAGTATGCCTCCTTCGAGGAAACGGGTTCGTGGCAAGGCGGACGAAACAGTCCAAGAGCAGCCTCGGAAGAAGGTCATCAAAACGGGACAGAGGGCAACGAGCACACCCCCCGAAATCAAGCATGCCGTGATTAACCAGTACTTTGCTCATGTCCTGTCCCTACGCGACTACATACTTGGGAAACTCCCTGCTACGTCGAGGCTCAGGAGGAAGAAAATCGCCTCTCTTGGTTCGTCTTCATCTACGGACGCCGAGATCCATGACCTGGAGCAGATTCTGGGTTCGCTACTCGACACGACGCTTGTAGGCTACAAAGAAAGACCAGAACAGCCAAGCCATACACCAGACAACCGCCGTCAGCAATGGACAAACTTTACGCAAAAAGGGGACGATTCCCACGTCACACTATCCGATGGTCTTGCCGGTGCAGCTTTCTCCCAAAGCGAGGTATGCTCTCTTATCATATTTGCGTCCAGGGACCTACTTGTGCTGACTCCGCAGTAAAGATAGTAGACTTTGTGATTTGGCAGCTCTTCTCCCGTTGCAAGAATCATAGTGAGCGACCTGAGCATGTGCTGTGTGATGGGTTTCGAAGGGATCCCAACCCAGGGAGATTGCAATGTCCACGGATGGATCAGTCGATACCGGGTGTATTCTCGCTGCATACAAACCCTCAGGTTCAGGCCCTGAAGCTTGACCCTTGGCCCCAACTGCTCAAGCTGCTGGGAAACTCTGGCGACGTCATCATGATGGACTTGTTGCTGGACTGTGCAGTCTTCACCTCCCTAAACGGTGGTAGGCGCAATTATCGCCAACTCAGCGGTAAGTTTGATACCACGGCTGATACTGCCCCAGCAGCTCACATCTTAGCCAAGGAATCCCATTGCCCAAGATACCGATAGTCGATACTTGCATCAAAACTCTTGAGTACATTGGCAAGGCGCCATCCGAGATTACCTTTGTCCGCAACCGCATGATGTATGCCAGAGCCGCATTGAATGCTCGTGGACTCGTACAATTTGGCATGAGGCACATTCGTATGTGAATTGCTCATCAATCAATTGATTCGCCATATCAGTACTAATAAGGTGCGAGCAGATGTCTTGAATCGGTCGCCATATACACAGCCTGATACCCAGGTCAATGCTTCTTCTGATGGAGATGAGACGGGGCCCAAAAATCTTGTCAATACTCGCAGAGTGATGATGTATATGTTCCCGCGGCAATTTGGTCTACACAACGTCTTCACTTCCACTGTTGATCGCAGGGAGACCGCTCAACGGTTGAAAGACTACACTTTGCGAGAACAGGAGATCAATACCAAGTTTGGCGAAAAGGACGTCCGGATTCCAAAGCGGCTGAGAGGCGATGCAAAAGATCTTGTTCAGAAGTTGCAGATACTTCACTTGCGATGCTCATATTCCAAATTATTGCAGCACTACTGTCCAGTATGTTGCTATCTTCCCCATGACAATTCAAACTAATACCGTTGCAGGCCGCGGAAGCCTCTGGGGTACAAGTTTCGTCCCAAGTCAGTCACAGCAAGGGCCGTAAATCTACGCAAAACTCCAGTGGCCGAGCCACGCAGAGCCTTAGCAAAGTAGTATTCACTACAAAGTCTGACAAGGCAGCACGATATACCTCGATAACAGAGCTGGCAACTTCGCCGGCCGAGGTCTCTGCTTTCTGTCAAGCAGTGATCGCGAAACTACTTCCGAATGGCTTTCTTGGGGCAGATGACGTTTGGAAGCACAATCAACGCCTGCTTCTCCGCAAGGTTGATCATTTCGTCCGTTTGAGACGTTTCGAGAGCATGTCCCTTCACGAAGTCATGCAGGACATGAAGGTAGATGCAAAAGTTGAGATTCACGGTATCTGGCTGACTAACTTGCAACAGATCACCGAGATCGAGTGGCTTGCGCCTCAGCATCTCATGGTGCACAAAACATCGCAGACTGACATTCGCAAGCGAACCGAGCTCTTTTCTGAATTTCTATACTATGTTTTTGATTCAATTCTGATACCCCTACTTCGAAGCAACTTTTACATCACAGAGTCCAATACGGACAAGTACCGATTATTTTACTTTCGTCACGATGTGTGGCGATACGTGGCCGAACCTGCGATGGCCGCTCTAAAGGTGAAAATGTTCGAAGAGGTGAACCTAGACGAGGCGAACCGACTGCTAGACTCGCGACAGTTGGGCTTTAGTCAAGTTCGATTGCTGCCAAAGGGCACGTCTTTACGGCCCATTATGAATCTTCGAAAAAAGATGCTGAAAAGGGGGAACAAGACATTATTGGGTTCAAGCATCAATACACTGCTGAAGCCTGCCCACACCATCCTGCAGCTCGAAAAGGTGAGTTCATCCATGATCAAGATAACATACAAATACTGAACAAGAACAGTTGCTAAACCCAGCTAAACTGGGTTCGTCCATGACCTCCGTTGGCGATGTCTACATGCGTCTAGCAGCCTTTAAATCATCTATAGGCTCACAATCTGGTCCCCTCTTCTTTGCAAAAGTGGATGTACAGTCTGCATTTGACACGATACCGCAAGCTGCAATAGTCGGTCTTCTGGATTCGATCCCCCAGCGGCGTGGCTATCAGATAGCCAAGCACATTGAGATGACAAACAACAGCTCCAGCGAGCTCCTAGCCCCGACCGCAGCGGGAAAGTCGAGTAAGCCGAGGATAAAATGGCTTTCGACTGCTATGAAGCATAGGGGCTCACAAGCACTCCTGGAATATATCGAGAGCGACCCGGCGCTAAAGAGAAACAACACTGTTTTCATTGAAGACGTCTTCAAGAAGGACTTTGATACGAGCTCCATCCTGCGACTCGTGGCGTCCCACATTCAACAGAATCTCGTCAAGATTGGCAAAAAGTTCTTTCGGCAAAAGGAAGGCATACCACAGGGCTCCATCCTATCCTCGACATTATGCAACTACTTCTACGCCGACCTGGAGATCCACGTACTGAAATTTCTCGACTCGGAGGACTGTCTCCTGCTCCGACTCATTGACGATTTCTTGCTCGTGACCACGGACAAGGCCAAGGCCACCCGTTTCGTCGAGGTCATGCACGCCGGCGTGCCCGAGTACGGCGTTGTCGTCAATCCGGCCAAGACGCTCGTCAACTTTGACCTCGACTTTACCGGCAAAGCAACTCCCGTCCCCAGGATCGGCCGCGGCTCCACAGGGTTTCCTTACTGCGGCGCGCTGATCGACACGGCCAGCCTCAACGTGTCCAAGGACCGGCGGCCGCGACGCGCACCGAACAATATTACAGAAGCAGCAGCGGCGGCGGCGGCATTTTCATCGTCGTCATCATCTATCTTCAACTCGCTGACTGTCGAGTACAACCGCGCTCCAGGACGTACCTTTGGGCGCAAGGTCCTCAACGCCTTCAAGATCCAGTCACATCTCATGTACCTGGACACGGGTCGCCTGAATGGTGTGGCGACGGTGCTCTCGAACCTGCGTGCCGCGTTTGCCGAGACGGCCACCAAGACGTGGGCGTACACGCGGTGCCTCCCACCCAAGGCGCGGCCGTCTCCGTCTCTCGTGATTCGGACTCTCCGCCGTCTCGCCGACGTGGCGTACCTCGTCGCCACCAGTCGGGCCCGCCGGGCGCGATATCCGGGCTACACGTGCGATGTCCGCAAGATCGAGGTCATGTGGTTGACGTACTCGGCGTTTGCCCAGGTGCTTGGCCGGAAGCAGAGTAGCTATGGCCCCGTCCTCGAGTGGCTGCACAATGAACTCAACAGGCTGGGCGCCATGAAGGATATACGTCGGGGACGAGTCGCTCATGTAACCGAGAAAGTTGTGTAGTCTGCGGGCTGCGGGTAGTGCCTTTCCAGAAAGAAGAACTGTCAAATATTTCTATTTGAAAGCGTAACTGCAAAGGATTTATAGGAATGCATCCGAGTGAATTCTAGGTAACTGCCTTCAGTATCTAGCATGAGTTATACTGCGCCCAACGCCATGCAAGTAGTGGAATCCAAGAGAAGCCAACTCGACCCGATATTCATACAGTGACTTTTACAGCCACCTTTACAAGTATTTGAGTTTTCGTGTCGCAAAAATCGCCACAGTCGCACTCATTGCGCCAATAAACAGGCATATCGAAATGGCATTAGGTCCGTCAGCGGCAGGGGTTTTCTTTGACTCATCATCTTGTCCTCCGCCATGAAGGTCGGGATGTGTTCCTGGGGCGAAAATGGCAAACACGATCGTGCTGATAAAGGTCCCTATGAACTGCGGTATTGTCGTATAGATGTTCAGGATCCCGAAGTAGATGCCCGATAGTTCACCTGATGAGCCGCTTTTTGCGTCTCCGTCTGATTCGTCCTGTTCAACAGGTCCACGCTCCAAGTGCAACGAGGATCGATCATTCATTTCAGACATCTCGACAGAGTCTAGTGGATGATATGATGATGTACCGCGATCGCCGCCACCAACACTTAGTTTGTTCACTTCAATGCCCAAGAAAGCAACTGGGGCCCACATCGCCATTGTCCACGGTCTGATGATTTCACAGTTAGTCAAAGTTCTGCCCCGGTAGCTTGGGCATGTGGACTTACAATCCGCAGATACACACAAGAACTGTTGCGAATTTGAAGCTCGTCGCAAAGGGCGCTAAGAACATGGCGCCGGCAAAGAGAACGTGTCCCATCATCCATGCTGTCAATAGGTCGGGCTTGTATCGCTGAAACTTTTCCAGTACATGCGCAACACTTTGTGGTGGCCGCTGCGTGAAGCTCTCGTCTTCTGGGCTCTTTACTAGCAGAGGCAAAAGCCAAGCACCGATGAATGTGATGGCCGAGTAAATCACCAAGGAAGTGCTGCCAATGCGACCCATATCACCGAGTGTGTCTTTGGAATCCCTAGCATCATCAGGGACATCGTATCGGAAATAGGTCTCGCCAACCCAGGTGGTTCCGTAAAACAAGAAAGGAAACCATCCAATCCATGCCCAGAATTGTGCATGGCAAATGGCTCGGATGCGTGGAGGCAAATGGAGGATGGTTGACCAAATCTGGCCAAACACCTTGAGCCTGCCGCCCTCCTGCCGCGGATCTTTTCGAACATCTACAAGTATCTTCTCTGTCACTGTCATGGCTGTCACGAGTGAAGATGACAAGATGCCAAAAGCAGCGACCACTGTGAGCTTCTTGAACTGGGTGTCGCCCAGAAAGTCGCCAAAGATGGCGCCCAGATCAACCGCGCCGGCAGCATAGCCAATCATGTGGCCAATTGCAGACAATCTGCTGCCTTTTTTCACCAATCAGCCAGGTTCATCGGATTCAAAAGGTGGACAGATCTTACTCCATGCTGCTCCATCTTGTTGCTTTGCAATAGGCAAAACATCCACCATGAGACTCCTGGCGGCTGACATCACTATATATAGTCAGTCAAGCCCAACAACGTAAAAATTCCATCTCTATGGCACCCTTGCATACCTGCATTGATGGAAAAGTCCACGGCATAGATTGCCAGGACGGCGACCAAGATTGTAATCGTCTTTGCGGCTTCTTCATCCGATACGAAAAGTCCCACTATTTCTTGCGTGAAGCCGAGGGCCAAGAGACTGAGCGCAACCACGATAGCGCCAATGACTATGAAGGGTCGACGACGGCCCCATCGTGATCTGGATTCATCTGCAATTGCGCCGACAATGGGCTGGACGACCAAGCCCGACAATGGACCAGCGATCCAAACCAAGGAGGTTTTGCTTTTGGTGAGTCCCAGACTTAGTAGGTACGGTGTACAGTAGGTCATCTCAACTCCCCAGGTAAAGCTATGTGCAACAAGGGGTCAGCTTGACAGCCAGGTTGGTCGCCAGGAAGCAATCGCTACCTACGTTATCCCCAATGTGCAAAAGTTGAGCAGTATCATGCGCATGGCATCAGACGAGCCTCGAACAGAGGGCTGTCCTGCCCACTTCGTCATCTCTGCCGGGTTATTTGGATTGCGCACCCAACCGTCGTCGTCGTCGTCGTCGTTCGGATCGGATGCGCCGTCGCGCGAGGCAGCTTGCTGATGTAGGGTTGGGTCGGCCCAGTCCTCGTCAAAAGGTTCCCAAGCTTGCGATCCGGTTTCGTCGTCGTCTTCGCCGTTGCGATCGCTGCTAGACCTCGGTGAATGCAAGGCGCTTTCCTTCACTGCATCGCCGTCTCGAGCGACACCCGACTTTTCCGAAGTTGTAGCTGCCATGGCGAGCAAAGGGAGAGGCAGTGAGACTATGTACTCGGCGGTGCTAACATGAGGGCCAGACAGGGGGCTACGTGGAGATGGTAGCGCAGTCCACGCGTTGCTTCATCCCTCAGCTTGGCGTCGGCTCGGTGAAAATAGTTCTATCAAAAAGAAAATAAAGGTATACAGAATAATCTATTCGAGACTGTGTCGGTGGAACACATGAGGTTGCTATAGCAGGTGATTTGAATTGGTACGTCGGAGGGTGTCAGCCTTGAAAGGAGTTGCAGCGCGAGCTGGATGGATTGCAGCTTTGGTGTCCTCAAGCTAGGAGTGGCAGGTACAGAGAGAGACAGGAGCTCATGTCAGATGACGTCGGCCTAAAAAGTGACTGGCTATGTTTGGCAACAGGGCTGACATGTTGAACTTATTTGCAACAACGCTTTAAGACAAAATTGAAATTGGAGGATCTCTCAAGGCCGAAAGTTCTTTTTACGATTATATTCGAGCAAAAACAGAATGTAATACACGTTCGATGTTGGTACTACAACTATAATGAGATGTAGTGTAGCTACGGTTCCATTGACGGCCAAAGTGGATCAAATATACATTGGCGAGCAGGTTGCAGATCAGGAACGAGAAGGCTTGCCGGCACCCCTGTAAACGACGCGAGCATTTGGATAATACATTTTAAGCTATTCGGGAGTGGAAATGCTCTATCCTTGCGCACTTGCAACAAACAGTTGTGAGCTTACTCATGGGTTTGACCGTCTAGGATATATAATGGTGCAAGGACATTGATCTATCTCCAGACTACCCGGTACGTACATACTGGGCACACATGATCCATGCTGACTTGATGCGGCTCGCGGAAGGCCGGCGCACTCCGTCTGCCGTTTGGTTACTCATCGGTATGACGCCAATGTCACTAACTAAAGTGCCCCGCTATTGATGAATGCCCATCGAGTCAATGGAGATGTCCGATACAGGAACGTGGGGTTTTATGCCACAGAATTTTGACGGCCAAACCGCCTTGCAGCTTCACCCGAATCGCGATTGCTCATTGGTTTCTGCCCAACAAATAAACACTTGAACACCTGGCCCAGTTTACATTGGGGCGATTCTGGGCAATTCCAACCATCTTTATTCTCTTCGCAACCAATCCGTCTTGCTTTGCATCCCGTCCTACATCTGGCTTTTGCTGAATCAACGTCTTCGTGACACTCTCTCTGCCCCCTCATCCGATCAATTGCGAAGAGACGAACAACTGTATACAGACTTAAAGATGGATTTGGTCAACCAGTACGTATTCGAACACCTTCGGCCAATGCTGTTGCAATTGGTCTCATATCGACCTGGGAGAATTGCCTGGCTCGCTAGCAAAAGCACAGCAACAGTCATACAGCCTTTGATCAGAAAGAGGAGCTGACTCGATATCGCAATCTAGCTTAGAAGGCCGGCTACTCTTCGCTGTCCCCAAGAGTAAGTAGAACTTCTCTGCGCGGCTGGAGCGACCTGCCAAACTGACTTTCAATCCTAGAGGGACGCCTCAATGCCGCCACCCTGAACATCCTCGAGGGCGCCGACATTCAGTTTAGACGCGAAAACCGTCTCGACATTGCACTTGTCAAGAACCTGCCCATCGCCCTCATCTTCCTCCCCGCCGCTGATATCCCAACATTCGTGGGCGAGGGTCGTGTGGACCTGGGAATTACTGGATATGACGTGGTGCAAGAGCACGATGCCGGTGTGCGGTTAGTCTACAAGAAGAGAAGGTTCTCAGGCGAGATTACGCCTGAGGAGGAGAGCGCAAAGACTGCCCTCACTGGTTGCGAGACCATTTTGGATCTGGGTTTTGGTGCCTGCAAGCTGCAAGTCCAGGTTCCCGAGAAGGGCGCTTATGTCTCTTCCAAGGACCTCATTGGCAAGAACATTGGCACCAGCTTTGTCCACCTGACGGAGAAGTTCTTTGCCAGCTTGGAACGTGAGGCAGGCGAACCCAGTGGTCTCGACGGCAAGATCAAGACCAACATTGTTGAGTTGAGCGGCAGTGTCGAGGCAGCTTGCGCGCTGGGAGTCGCAGATGGCATCGTGGATCTGGTCGAGTCTGGCGAGACAATGAAGGCGGCTGGCCTCAAGGCCATTGACACTGTTGTCGAATCCAGCGCCATCCTCATCAAATCCAAGTCGCCCAGCAACCCCGAATTGGTCGACCTCATTGCCTCTCGCATCCGTGGTGTGATTGCAGCAAAGAAATTTGTCCTTTGCCAGTACAACATCCAGAGAAGCTCGCTAGCAACGGCCACAAAGATTGCTCCCGGAAAGCGTGCCCCTACAATCACTTCGCTTGATGAGGAGGGTTGGGTCGCCGTAAGCGTCATGGTCGAGAAGAAGCAGATTGCTCTGGTCATGGACGAGCTGACAAAAGTTGGCGCCACCGACATTTTGGTGCTGCAAATTGCCAACACGCGGACAGACTGATTTGGCGCATAGGCGCTTTGCTTACAACTTTAGACATACCCATAGTTTGTTGGAGACTATTTATCTCAGGAAATCCGTTATAACAATCAGAATGGAAAGGCGCATGTCGGCTCTGGCAATTGATTATGAATTTCACTTATTGAGTGACTCTGTGACTGCTGTAGATGTGACTGTTTGACAAGACATTTCAGCATGCCTCGGCAATCTTGGAATACACATGAAAAATAGGCCTCAGATGTGATGCCATATTTAGGTGTCGAGATCTGCAATTTACTTGCTTAGTACATTTAAAAGAAGGGGGAGAATAGCGCGATCTATTTCTACTGCCAGAAATAGGTACAAGGCGCAAAGCGCTATCGTAGATTTGATTTAACGTTTTGTCGGATCGTTTTCCGGGAAAACACGAACCCGCAGCATAGACGCGCACTCTAAAACTAAGAGCATGCTGCTATTGGTGTGTTGGGGCTCCAGTCTGACGTCTACCCAGGCAGGATCACTTGCATGTACCTGAAGATCTTCAGCCTCTGAGCTCATGGCTAGAGCTTCTGCCAATTGAAACTCCGAGTCGGAACCAATCTGTCATTTGGGGATTTTCTGTGAATCTTCCTCACGTTGCTCAGCTCGAAAACTATCCAAAACTTCATCATTTGCAGTCATGGCTTCCAACACCACCACCAAGCCGGCCGCGGCGGCTCACCCGCAGACGAGAGAAGATGAACATTCTGCCCTCTATCGCGTAAGTCTGGCGAGGGTGAGAAGACATGACCACTTCGGCTTCTTCGGCATTGGGCATTTCCCATCCCACGACCTCACGTATTTCTCGTTCTGTTTTGCAAGATGTCTACTTCGCGTTTTCCCATATCCTGCCCCAATGGAGGGAGCTATTACTGGCAAACTTGCAAAGCTGTGTGTATATGTATACTAATCAACTGACGACAGCGCATCATGACACCCATCAACTTTGTCACCTTTCTCGTGTCGCTGTACCTGGTGGACTACCACTACAACAGCAAGCGCGAGCACACGCACGACCACAACAAACGAGCCAGTCGGCTGCCGGGCTGGCTGCATTCCCTCTTGTTCAAGCCTCAGCCCTATGCCTGGGTCGGCGGGGGCGACAGTTCGGCGGCGCCCCCCAACCAGGACGACAAGAACTGGTATTATCACACCAAGCAGAAGAAGCTCATGAAGATGGAAGCGGCCGCGGCCTTTGAGATGAGGCGAAGCGTCACCGTGGCGCTTGTGTTCATAGCCGTTGGGGCGGCTTGGGGGTTGTCCAGGTTGTTGGCGGCGGCGGCGAGCTGGTGGTGGAGTGTATAGTTGTTGAAATAAATGCCTAAAAGTCAATTCATGTTGGATCTGGATTGGTATTTAAATGCATATAAGAAATGAAATTTTACAAAGCTGGCCCATTGGAACATGATCATGCATCGCGATGTTTTAGTTGGACAAAAGATATCAGGCCAGCTTTCTTGATATTGTGGTTTGACAAACTCTCCTTGGAGTTTTAGACGTACTACCTCGAGGTTCTATCATGATCTCTGTCTGCTTGGATATTCGAGGGCCACCCAGGACTTCATAATGACGGCCTCGAGAGCAGCCATGGAAGTCTTTCAGATTGCGCGGCTTGAACTACCGATGAAGTCATTCGCAAACCACCCCGCTAAGCCTTGGGGGGACTGCATCCCTGCTGAGATCGGTCGATCCATGCAGATTACCGACTGTAACCCCAGCAGAGTGCAGCTTGAATCATCTACCCCAAGGCAATTGGATCTAAATCATTCTTGTGTCGTAATGCAATCAAAGTCTCATCTTGTGATTTCAAAAAGCTATTGATGTGATAAAATGTGGTGGACGTTCTGAAGAGGACAAATCATTTAGCAGTACATTACATGCCTCTGCACTGGACCAGGAACAAGTGCCGTTAGCGTATAACCAGCCGGGCAGTTTGCCGCTGTGGAAACACTGACAGGCTGTCAGCCGCATCTGATACGCCACTGCTGATAGGGGACCCTCTCATCAATGACGATGACTCGCTCGCGCGCTGAAATGAAATCCTGTCCACGGGTATCACCAAGTGGTGGCACTGGTACGCAACGTTGGCGTTGTTGGTGATATCCCGTTCTTCTCCTTTTTCTTTGCACAGTTTCGAGTACTCAAATGTGCTTTTATAATCTTTCTTGAGCCGTCTTTCTCGAAAAGGTGTTTTGCCCCCCATTCTTTAAGTATTATCATCACACTGGTGGATTTTAGGCTCGGGGCGTGCATCAAAGCTTCCACGGGCGGCAAAGGCAAAATAAAGCATAACCTACATTAGGTATACATGCTATAATGGAGGAACCAACCCTGTTGCTGGACGCCGATCTAGCAGACCAGTATCGGCGCATATACCGTGCTCAGTTCAGAGAGGATGTCGCCGCGGGCCGCAAGATCCCCTTTCTGTTCCACCTGTGTCTCTGGGGCCTCTTTGTCTTCCCCGTACTCTACCTGAGTATACCACACCGACGCCGGCCTTGGCTGTACCGCGCCCGCTGGCTCGTCCTGGCCGCCTGTGCCGCCGTCAACCTCTGGATGGTGCGGAATTTCTCCAGCGCCAACTTTGCCTTTGCCTACGGGACAGGCCTGATTGCTGCTTGGGGTACGATTTGGAATCTTACCTTGCTGGTTTGGACGCGGCCTCAGTGGGATGCAAAGAGGGTCGAGAGGTATCCGAATCCAGAGTATAATCGCGATGTCAGCCAGAAGGAGAACGAGTCTGGACGACAGGCAACGTCGTCATCTGCAGCAGTGTCAACCACCAACGGTCATGTGACGAACGGCCACGCCTCCAACGGTCACGCATCTCATGGATGTGCTGAGATTAGGCAAAGGAAGACGCAGCTTGCCGGAAATGACGCCAATGGCTCCATCCTGGAAAGTAAAACTGAGAGATCGCAGTTCATCTACAAGTGGCAAGAATTTCCCGAAGGTGCCCCTTTCCTCACGAGACTGGACTGGGCGTTCGACATTGCGACTACTATGAGGTTGACTGGTGAGTTTTTATCCTCATATATTTACCCACGTCTCGCCATACTAACCTTACAAAGGCTGGAACTGGGCGATACATGTGCTGCCGCCATATAGGCCGCCTCCTTGGATCGATGAAGAGAATAGAATCCAAGCGCCCCTCGACTCACTCCCGAATCGTACAGGCCAGGGCTTTGAGCGCTGCCGTACGCGCCGGCAATTCTTTATTGAACGCATTCTAGGCAGTCTTGTGCCGGCTTATCTCCTCATAGACGTGTGCGCAACAGTCATGACACAGGATCCTTATTTCATTCTCGGTCCGAATGAGCTGCCACTTCCTCCCGGACTGGCTGAGATGAATCCATTTCTTCTCTCTCTTCGGAGGACGTCTCTGTCCTTTATTGCCGTTCTCGTCGCTCTGCGGCTTGCCTGGGATTTCGGTGCCGTATTGCTAGCCTTCCTCTGCCCGCCCATCCTGGGGTTCCGCGTTGATCCATGGCATCTTCCTTCCATGACGGGTTCGTTTACAGACGTCTTGGACCGCGGTCTGGCCGGATTCTGGGGCACCTGGTGGCATCAGACATTCCGCTTCGGTTTCGCTGCGCCCACAAATTGGTTGATCAGAAACGGCTACATTAGGGAGAAATCTACATCCGCAGCCGTGGTCGGCGCACTCGTGGCATTTTTGCAGTCGGGTTTCATCCACGCCATGGGGAGTTACACCACGCTCCCCAAGACGCACTGGTGGGAACCGCCCGTCTTCTTCTTCCTATCGGGCGTTGGCACACAGCTTCAATCCACTGTATCCAAGGCATTCAAGCCACAGATTGATAAGATGCCGCAATGGGTGCGGAGGGCCGGCAACTTTCTCTTTGTGTTTGTCTGGCTGCACTTGACATGCAAATGGCTGGTTGACGATTTTGGACGCTGTGGTTTATGGCTTTGGGAGCCCGTTCCCTTTTCTATTGTGAGATGGCTCGGTCTGGGCCTCAAGGGCGATTACTGGTGGCGTTGGACGAGTGATGACACTTTTACGTGGATAACCGGAAAGCATTGGTGGACTACAGGTTTTGGCGTTTAGAGACATGAGCATCCTCTTTTAGAATTTTATAGAAACCATAGTAGACTGCATTTGTAGAGAAGAGGCTTAGAATGTATAACTATCTATCTACCAGACTTCCTTTTTGTATAAAAAAAGAACTGTCTTCAGGAACATGAATCATTCTATGGGAGTTCAAGAACTTCTCTAAAGTCTAGGAGACATTGCTCAAGGTGTCTATAAACCGATACAGAACTCCTGGATTGAACGACTGGGCTGTACACGCTGCACACAAATTACCACTTACTGTGGGCACAGGTCAGCGATATCCTATGCCTTGGCTCACAGAGATGAATATCACATGCGGGGCAGTCCTCTGTGATGACCCCTTAATGTGAGAGAAGTAAAGTCTGGGACCACATTTTCTTCGCTGGCCATATCACCAGCATCTTAAGACGTATTGTAGCGGGTTTGTTCTCTTTATAACCTACTGAGATGACCTCGGGAAATGTGAAGTATATGTTGCGGGATGCTGAGAGATCTATAGAAAGAAGTTGAGTGTCTGCGTAATACATCAGCTAGAGGGCCATGAAGTAGCCCGAATAATATGGAGATAAGGCCACAGAGCTCTGGTTTGAAAGGCTATGAGGCCTGGATTTGTCATCAAGGAGCGCTATCTTGGTCTCCTTGTAGAGTTTTCTTAATTTTATGATCGATAGATCTCCTGTTTCTCAGATTCAAGTCCCATTGACTGGCAATGTGACGAGAGGTCCGACAAATGCCCGTCTTTCTTTTCCTCTTTTTTTTTTCCCTCGCAATTATTTTTCCTCCTGATACCCGTCATCAGGTGCCTTTTGCACTTGAACACTCCCAAGACTACGAAACTTGATAGATGTACGTCTGAGCAGAACTCGAATGAAAGAGTGGTCTCTTGCCGACGGTCTTGTCCTCTTGGCATCACAGAAACCCAGAGCCTCTCAGGTGAGAAGTATGAAACGATTTCCCTTCTTATAATCGCCAGGCTTGATGATCTGGATTTTTAGGTACGCCACGAATACCACTGCGTAGCGCTTCCGTTTTGGATTTTCATGTGCATGCTATCTACTTGTAACGCGGTGCGTCTCTTGTACGTAGGGTCGCCGCGAGGAGCTTGTGATTGCGGTAGGATTTGGTTAAAATTATCTTGTACTCTGTAGAGCAGAATCGCTGGCTGTATGGTTTAACACGCAATGGCATTGGGCTGTTGGTTTTCTAATCTGGTCATCCCACAACTATCTCTCACTCAACTCGCTATGAGACACTCATCCATGTCGACTTGAAGAGTCCGATCAAAGTGTTACATGCCTGCCGTAGCAAACAGACCATATCACTGAGGCCCGTAATGTATCAGTGGTTGGACCCTTCTGAAGTGTATACGTCACCTTGTAAGAAAAACGGCTGGATATACTTGACGGCCAAGTCACGACTAGAATCAAGGACTGGCACTTGCTCGGAGTTTATATCGAAATGCTTTTTTTCCAAAGTTGAGATGATGATTTCTTTTGGACTGCCACAAATCTAAAGCAACCTGTCCCCAATAGTGTCCACGACTCGTAGTTTGCCCCATCACTGGCCCATTGATTCGACATCAAGTCAAATCAAACATATCCCAAACACTTGACATACTTTCAAACAAATATGAAGATACGAGCTGTCGTATCCGTGGTAGTCCAAATTCTCTCAGAGAGATGAGGAGTGTCATGGAGCGACCTCGCATCCTGGCCCACCAACATTATCCCTTGCAGGACTCGCCAGGGAGATTCTCGCAACGTGCACTCCATGTCTGACGAGAATGGCAAGGAAGAGACGAATATGGCCAAGAAGACATGGTCAAGGAAGATCAAAGCTTGAGAGAGGGGTAAGTTTTCTGCGTAAGCAGTCCAATCCTAGGATGCAAACAAGACAGACGCCTTCCGCAATCCTTCCAGGACCCGAACCCTTGAGGGTGCGCGCGTGAAAATGGATTTGTTCCTTTTCATCCCTTCTAGAAATATTCGCTTGGGAGGGTGAATCTGTCCGACCGACCGAGTGAGTTTGCTGTCATTTTTTTTTTTCTTAATTATCGACATCCGGAATCATACTGACTCCACAGTTGGGATTTTTTGAGTTTCATTCTGAAAGAGGGTCCCTGGGCTGAATCTGGGCTGAGCTTTTTCAGTTGGTCTCCATTTGTGATATCGTATTCTCATTCACAATCCCTTTCAATCCCTTACATTGGAGTGCTGTCACTAATCTACGTAAGGTTTTGCAATCCTGACCTTTTTTTTTTTCCGATCAAGCGGAGGTTTACGGCGGCTTTGACTGGGGGTTCATGGGGGTTGAGGGGAAGGTAAACTCATCAGACAAAGATCGACCTTTGTTCCCATGCGTATCCTTTCCTTCTCTGCCCGAATCCCTCCTTGGTAGATGTAAGTGCAATAGTTTCTTGAGAACAAACTCCAGTCGAGACTGTCAAGAAAAGGACAATACCCATGTTGAAATTGCATCACCATGGGAAAGAAGGGCTGGGGTGTTTCCAATCCCTCGGAAAATTACGTTGTCATGGGGCTGCTGCTGCTGCTCTCTGACTTGTTGCTTGTGAAAGTGAGAAAACTTGGTAGCTGGGTTCTCTCCATCCGTCTCTCTCTCTCTCTTTTCGCCCCTCTCTCCAGCTTCGTGATGCCCCAACCGTCTGTGTGCAGGAAATATCCCAGATACGGCCCTGTGGCCAGTCACCCTACTATGTATGACCCTTGCCTTGTCCCTCCATGGCCCCCATGTCGTATTTGGGAACCAGGGTTCAATTCGGACCGCTGGATCATGTTCCCGGTGAGAGAAAGAAAGATCCAGACTTGGTGCTTTTTTCTTCTTTCCGACTTACTGTAACCACTATTTACGGCTGAGGCGTGCATTGCATTATTCCTTTTACCCTGTGAGGTTATGGCCCAACCAATCTAGCGGGAGAGAAAATGCTTTCATGGAAGCAAGGGCCCTTGCCATGGTCATTGTGCTGCGGGGGAATGTTTTGTAGAGGAACGTGTTACTTTCTCTTCTCCTTACTCCCTTACACTGGAGCATACATAAATAACGCCGGGAAACGATGGGCAGAGAGGGAAAGGAAAATATGACAAGATTCAAAAAATCATCCACTATTGGGCAGTAGCAAACTTACACAGTAGTCCTCGGGCAAGGCATAGCCTCAAACTTGGATATAGTGGATGCCGCAGATCCGGGCCCCCAGAGACAATATATCGATAATTTGGGCACGGATCAGATGTGTCCAATCCTGTGCTCGTTTTCTGAGTTTTACCATGATGCCAGCCAGTCCGAAAGCATTGCAGTTGCACATGTACGATACGGGTCTCTCTTTTGGTGTCTCTACTATGTAGCTTCTTCCCCGGGGGAAAGAAAGTGGCTTGTGGGCCAGACTATCGAAACTGGAGATCCCTGGGCAAGACCAGTATCCACAAACGGTTCTCGAATTTGCTTCTTCCGTTGGAGCAATTGGATCAAAACGTCTCTTGCCCAAGGTCGTACGGGTTGAGCTTGATATATCATCTGCAAGACCGAATCAAGAATCCATCACGTTTCTGGTCTGTGGGCTGTATAGAAATGAGGAAACACTTTGAGCCATTATGCAAACATGGTTTGCCCGCCAAGAGGACCCGCCACGGAGTTGAGGGATTGGGGCTTCAGCGATCTCGCGCACTGTAGCATTTGTGATCTTTGTCATACATATTCCGTGGTTCTGATCACATGGTCAGTGGGACCGCCCGTACAAAAGTCACGTTTAGGTGACCGAGTTTGCGTCAGACTTTTTTGTGTGATTGACGAGAAAGTTGCATCGTGATGGGCGGTCATTATTGTCTTCTTCCCCGCGGAAACGGCGCATCGAAAGAGAGAGACCTCGTCGTGAAGTGTCGTTGATACCCGCCGATTCGTCACGAATTCGTCCTATGAGCTGAAAGAATCCCTGTGGGACAATGTTCATGGATTAAGCATAAGTGATGCATTCTCCAATCGCCTGGCTTTGCCGAAATCCTCGTACTAACTGAGTATGTAAGTACTACTACTCGGATTGTATGGTATGCTGACAGCCTGCTCGCCATACATAATGCATGTCTTGGGGGCATGCCATAGCGTTAGACAATAGCTGCCGTACGTACTCTGTATATCACACCTGTACTATGTTGATCATTCGCATTGATAGGCACAGTAGGGCGGTCATGGACCGACAAGGACAGGCATGGCACAGATTAAAAGAAAGAAAGAAACGCGGGCCCACGGGTCGTCTTTGCTTCAAGCTATCGTCGTGGGAACTCCACAGCCTGTGTGGTCACTACAACATAGAAAAGATTTGCAATTGTAACGTAGGCTTCGGTAGGCTTTCCAATAGTACCCATTTTTTTCTCTTTGTGGTGAAACGCGAAAGAAAAAAAAGCAGAGCCCGGGAGTAGTATTTTCAGAGAGCTCCAACATTGAAAAGAGGCTCCCAGACCTAACCGATCATTATCTGCTCCCCCACACCAGAGACAAACTGCAGCTCGATATGAAATGCATGTAGACGAGCATAGGCGAACATTGGACGATAACCTCGCGTGTGTGTGTATTTCTGATTAGACGCAGGAGCCTCTGATAAAACATGACGAAGAAAACCGGGGGCCTGCAAGATGCTATGTACGCAGGCGTGGGCCAGTAGATGGAGCTGAGCCTCCTGCATTGTGTTTTACAGCATTTCCAATATTATCTCATCAACACGCGCGTAAACGAGGGCCCTGGGATCAATCATGTCATATCATGGTTACCGAGTGCCTGTCAGCAATTTTTTTTTTTTCCCCTTGCCTCTCTCCCCCCATAGATGCCGGCGTGTGCTCCGGAAATCGTTAGCGTGTCCGGTTGTGAGTTTTCTTAGACATGCCAACATCCGACCAGGGCCCCGGACCGCCTTTGAGCTGCATTTTACTGTGCTGTGCGTGCTGTGCAGGTAGAGTGGTACGTAGTAGTGTTCCCGTTGGCGGTTCCTG